ACCTGCTCTTGGGGAGTTGAAGACTCCCTCATAGACTGACAATCCTCCACCAGGTGGTTCGGGCTCTCACACCACTGACACTGAGCTACTGGAGGCGTAGCTACACCTCGGCCCGGAAGGAGACTGTTAGGCTGCTTCAATGTCTGCACCAACTCAGCCACCTGCTGCTCTAACCCAGATCTGGCCTCAATAGCATGCACACCCCGGTCCCGGGCATTCCTGCCCCTGCTGCTCTGTCCCCAAGAATGATCGCGGGCAGCCAAAGTACTGATCATCTGGTTCAGCTCGGGTGGAGTCTTAGTGAGAATATCCTCTCCTGGGCATAGAGACTCGATCACCCTCTGGCTATCTGGAGTGAGGGCGCTGTAGAAGTTCCCTACTGTGAAAGCATCGCTGAAACCGTGATGGGGACACTGCCAGAAGTATCCCATGTACCGCTCCCATGCATCACGAAGGGACTCATCTGGCTCTTGGCGGAAGTGAGTGATCTCCCGCTGTATCTCCGTGGTCTTCGATGCCGGATAATACCGGTGCACGAACTTGTCAGCCAAATCGTCCCAAGAGGTGATGGACAATGGGGGCTGGGTCTCCAACCACCTCTTAGCATTCCCCGCCAGAGAATGGGGGAAGAGGTGAAGGCGGATTGCATCATCCGGAACACCATTCAGCTTGAACCCGTTCGTCAGCTGCAGAAAACGGGAAAGGTGTACCCGGGCTTCCTCATCCTTCAAGCCATGGAACTGGATAGAGGATGTGATGAGTTGGATCCAGCATGGCTTGATCTCGAAGTTGTTTGCAGGGATGGGTGGATAGAGGATGACCGGGCGGATGTCAGCAATCCGTGGAGTATAGTAGTACTCCAAGGTGGGACCCGGTGGTGGTGGATGATGATGGTGGCCAGCTCCCTGGGGATGTTGGTCGTTCCCCAGGATCTGGTTCTGAGGAGGCGGGTTCTGATTGCCTTCCATCTCGTGCTCGTCCTCGGAGTCGCTGGTCAATTGGCCGTCTCGGCGCTCCACCGTAGCCAGTCTAGCTTGCTGTTGTCTCCGAAGTTGTTTGCAGGTGCGCTCAATCTCAGGATTCAACGGCAGTAAACCTCCCGACTGGCTACGGGTCATGCACTATCTGCACACAATCAAGCAAAGCAACCCGTGAAGGCACAAGTGGGAAAACAAAAACTCAATGCAAAAAATGAAAATGCTAAAGTAACAGAAATCACTTTTCTTCAACAACCTAGCCGTCCCCGGCAACGGCGCCAAAAACTTGACTCGACTCTACTGTCACCCTAGGAATTGGCCAAGTGAAACCACTTCCTAAAGCGTAGTATAGCGGGTTAGGTTTATATGTCAACCCGGGTCCTAGATTTGCTGACTACTCAGTGAGTTCTTGTTATCTAGCAATAAAACTGGAGTGCAAGTCTAAACTACCAAACAAACAAAGCAAGTAAACTGGTTGTATTCAGGTTAAAGAGGTCACCCGGATATGGTTCCCCCTAGACTGTAGTTAAGCCGGATTGTAATTACCAAGTTCAGTTTCTATGAAGATTATACTGCGGAAGGTTCTTAAACAGCCTGAAGTCTCGACTAAAGGTCTTCAGACCCTCTCAATCTGACTCTCTAGCGGGCGACTAACCTCCACCGGAGTCGACAGATTGAGGCCCTAAGAACAAAACCTCCACTACCGGAGTAAATCCGGTACAGAATAGTGAGTTGGCTCCTCGACTAAAGTCACCAACTCCCTACCTTCAATCAATGATACTCTATTAACCTAGGCAGATATTCTCATTCTAGGTTAAAGCAGAAACAACAGGAATTTGATCAGGATTCAAGTCATTCAATCATAAAACCTCAATCGAATATAATCAATCACAGAATCAGTACTTGGGTTCATACAATCAATCTCAACATACAGAACTAGGGTTTCCCACACCCAGATGAATGGGAGAACTACTCCATGGAGAAAGAAGCAAAAGCAGAATCAGACGCGGAAATCATACTGTAAAGATGGATTTCTGCTCCTGGACGTTGAATCGGCACTTCTCCAAGCTCAAACCAAGCTCCAATGGTGTTGAAGATCGATCTAGGGCACTTGGAGACTCTTGTTCGTCGCTTTCTCTCTCTAGGAATCATTCTATCTCTCTAAAACTCGAATCCCCTCTCAATTTGGCTGAAATCTGCCTAAAAGGGCATCATTGGCCAAAACACGGTCGAGGGCACGGCCGTGTTTTGCCTCAGCCCGCCCGTGTTTTGCCTCAGCCTTAAAAGCACGGCCACGGGCAGCTTGAAAACACGGTCGTGTTCAGGCTAAAACACGGCCGTGTTTTCCTCAGGCCTGCCCGTGTTTTTTAGATGGTTCAAGCCACACTTGCAAGGTCTCGGCCATAAAAGCACGGGCAGGAACACGGCCGTGTTCTGAGGCCTCCTGCCCGTGTTTTGGCCCTGGCTTGTCCAAACGCCTTCCAAACGATCCGAAACTCGTGCTTGGCCTTCCCTTTGACGCCTGGGACCTGAAATAGGACAAAGTAGCACAACCCAGCGTAAAATAGGTCAAAACACACAACCATGCTCCGCAAATGGATAAGAAATAGGGGTATAAAATCATGTAATTATATCGTTATCAATGACGGGCCTTTTTGCTAACGCCCGCTTGAGCTCCATATTGTTGGTGGCCTCCATGAGGTGATGGGCGGCGGTTTCGGGGGTAAGGTCGCGGACGGCCATCGCTACCCTGGACCATCTGGCGTAGAAGGCTCTCAAGCTTTCTCCGTCTTTTTGCCTGATATCTATCAGGGCCTTGAGGTGAAGAGGGCGCCGCTTCTGGGACGCGAACTTTGTTGTGAACAGAAGTATGAACTCCTCGAACGAGCGGATGATTCCGTTCGGGAGGCGGTTGTACCAGTCGAGGCATATTCCCGAAAAGGTTGACGGGAAGGTTCTGCACAGCGCCGCATTCGAGTTGGTTTGGAGTTGCATGCGCAAGCAGAAGGTGCTCACGTGGTCTTCTGGGTCGGTAGTGCCATTGTATGTTGGGAGGGTGGGTGGCGCTCCGCTTAGGTGCTCCGCCATAATTTGTGCGCTCAGTGGCTGGTGGAGAACCTTCTTGGGCGGGTTAGGTCGGTATTGCGGAGACAGGTGTTGCTCCAAGAAGCTGAGGTCCGCCCGCCCCGGTGGTTCGATTCCCTGCGTTTCTCCCGCGGGGAATTCCGCTGGCGCGTGTCGTAGTGGTTGGGCGGTTCCGGACGCTTCTCCCACGGCTTGTTGAGGCGCGACCGCCGTTGCCTCTGCTGTTGGCGCGGCCTCCCTGCTCATCATGAGCGCGATGACTTGGCTCATTTGCTTCTACATGTCGGCTATGACGTTGTTTTGCTTTGTCACTAGCTCCCTCATTTCTTTGGCTGTCAGCTCGGGCTCTTCTTCTTCAATAAGCACCGCATTGAGGTTGCTGGCTTCTGCGAACGCCCTTGGGTCGGTCATCGCCTTGATGGGCGTTGCTTCGTCAGGTTGGTCGTGGTTGCGTTCTGCCATTGGTGGGTTTTCTTCTGCGCTTCTTCTTGGCCCCACGGTGGGCGCCAATTGTTTGAACCTAACTGAGTGTAGGAGTGAGATTCGAGTAATAGTTAGGGTCAAGAAGAAGTGCAAGCGATGGGTTTGATCGGAAGGTCGGAGACTAGAGAGTTGAGTGAGAACAAGAGAAAGGATTTTAGAGAGATAAGTTGTTATTGTAGAGAGAGAGTGATGAAAAATGCGATCCCCTCACCCACCGGAGTAAATGCCATATTTATAGGCTACATGGTGGTGGGTGAGTGGATGGATTACATGATGGGACCTTGACTCTGATGTGACCACTGACATGTCGGGGATTTAGGCCATCCCCCTACCTAGGACATGTCAGGGGTGTACCTACGACTGTGTCACTGATCCCGACGCGGCTGACCCTCGGGAAGTGTGAGTGGAACTCCCTGTGGCTAAGTGGCTTACAACGCGCCTGAGCTTCTGCGCCTTGATGCTTTCCACTCTCTGCGCCTTGATGCTTTCCACTCTCGCGCGGCTTGTGAGGAGCTCTGGGTCTTCGCGCGCTGGTTCTCTGCGCTGGCGCACGCGCAGTAGCGCGCTCTTAAGCCTGCATGCGCGCCTTAGACCCGCGCGTGCGTCTTCTGTTAGCGTGTCTTGCCTTGCACAGCTAGGTCCGAGTCACATGCCCAACAGTCCTCATACACGAGGGTTAAACGTCGACTGATTGGCCACGTTCGTGATGCGTTCTCACACTCCCAATGAGTCTGGACTTTTGCAACCTTGCACAAGCAGCCTTCGTGGTGCATGGCTGTCGTCAGCTCGTGCCGTAAGGTGTTGGGTTAAGTCCCGCAACGAGCGCAACCCTCGTGTTTAGTTGCCACCGTTGAGTTTGGAACCCTGAGCAGACTGCCGGTGATAAGCCGGAGGAAGGTGAGGATGACGTCAAGTCATCATGCCCCTTATATCCTAGGTGACATGTTTTGGATTTAGGGTATGATCACAAATTCATGATTTAACAAGCAAAACCGTTGACAGAACTTCGGTCATGCGCTATACACATGCAAGTCATATATAATACACTAGTTTAAGAGTGAATTTATCACTAACGATAAACAATTTCAAATCCAGAAAGATTTGATTCTGCCTTCGTGGAGCCTTATCATCTATCATAAAAAAAGTTCTTACAAAAAGGAGGATGAAAATGAAGAAATTTAAGCATAAATAAAATTAGGGATTAAGGTGAGATGATTTTAGTTTACGTTAGAGTTTTCTCTTAATTTTTTGTAGTTAAAATAGTATACCACTTGGACTAGTCAAACTGGAGCCATTCATGTTAAACCGATAAAAATGGTTTGACCCATTTCTAATTATCCAATCAAATGAACCAAATTGTCATTGTAACTGATTTAGTGATTCGGCTGACCCAGCCATTCATTTGGTTCGGTTCTTAAACAATGGGAGAAAGAAAAGCGCAACAGTTTTTTTGAAAAAACATCTGTGGGGAGGAGGATAAAAAGCTCAATCCCCTTGGCGTTGAGCCCATTATCAGTTCTCACCTCGTCCGCCTCACTTCACTTCCGTTCCCTCTCGCTCAGTCGGTGCCCAGCCAGCAGCAGTAGTAGGATAGAAATCCAAGTGAGAAAGCAAAGTTCAGCAAAAGCCATACGCCAAAAGGGAAGAGAGAAAGAAAGAAAGCTGATACTTTTGCTTGCGATTCCCTTACAGAAGAGACCTTGCCCCAACAGAAAGCAGCAGAAGAAGAAGAAGAAGAAGAAGAAGACGGACCTAATTTCCATTTCTATTCATTCTCTCAGATTCGCGCTCTCCCCCGTAGCAGCAGCAACCAGCAAGCATCAAGCGCGGTTTTTGGGTTTTTTTTTTTTTTTTTTTTTGCATGTAGTAGATTTGCACTCTTTTGGAATTGGAGCCCTAACTTCCATCTCCAACCCTTTCTCGCAACTTCCGTGCTCCTTTTGATGGCCGGTAACCCTTCCCACACTCCCACCGATGATTTCCTCCAGGAAATCCTCGGCCTCCAGAGCTTCTCCTCCGCCGTCCCTTCTCTCGTCGGCGCCGATGCTCTCTCTGCCTCCGCCCATGCTCCCATGTTTCTCCAGCTCAGTTCCGGCGACCCCTCCGCCACCGGGATTAACGCCCTAACCGGCTCCTCCCCCGGCTTCCAGGGTTTCCCCTTGGGGCTCAGCTTGGACCAAGGGAAGGGAGGGTTTCCCAAGCACGAGGATGCCTCCGGCAGCGGCGGAGGCCGCTTCCGAGACGACGTCCTCGACGGCAGAGTTGCCATGGCAAAAAATGTAAGTCACGCAGGGATTCAAGAGAAGATCCTCCTCATTGTTTTCATAATTAATTAGCTCTCAGTGGTTGATTTGTCCCCTCCTTTCAGGAAGAGATACGCTTTTAGTTATTGCTTTCGTACAGATCATTCCTGCGTTGTTTGTTTTAACTGTTGCGGGATGAGGGGATGCAAAGTGTTCGTTTAAAACTACAAAAAAAAAAATGGTGCTTTTGTGCTTCTAGCTTTTTGTTTGCTTAGCTGCCCAAGGAGACCCAGAAAGGTAGTTGGATTTTTCGGAGCAAGACTGGTATTTTGACGAGGAGAAGCATACACACAACAATGTCCCCTTGTCGGCTGTTTCATTAGTTACCACTAGTTTTTCTTCTACTGAAATGCTTCAACACATGCACCTTTCTTGGTTCCCTGAGTCACCTTCTACTTGGCTATGAGCTAGGCAGTTCATATAATAGATTGTTCAAGTTACAATGAAAAGGATGAGTGATCTAAAGTTGTGGAAAATAGATAATGCATATTATTATCAGGTGACATTGGTTTGATAGTTGGACATTTCTTCGTGTTCTTTTCTGTTCTGAATACGTTACTTTTGTTTAGAGGAGTTCATGAATGGAAAGTTTATTTGAACCTTTGGTGGCTCTGTCTCCAGTAAGCCTGCTCCTTTTTACTTATGAGATATTTGCTTTGTAGCAGGTTTTTCATGGACAACCGGTGCCCACAACTGTGCCTGCAGCAGCCCCACATCCTCCGACAATGCGGCCAAGGGTGAGGGCCAGAAGAGGGCAGGCTACAGATCCACACAGCATTGCCGAGCGTGTAAGCATGATATATGCTGGCCTTGAATTAGAGCTTGATATATTGAAAACCATTAGCTTATGCTTTGCAGACACAAGTACGGAACTCATATGGCATTCCAATTGATTCCTTTGTCTGTCTTTGATACAGTTGCGCCGAGAAAAAATAGCAGAGAGGATAAGGGCATTACAGGAGTTGGTGCCTAGTGTTAACAAGGTCAGTCTACTTATCACCCTTTATAATTTGGTGCAATAACTAAACCGTCTTGCTAGATTCTTCTTTTTTTAGAAGAACCATGGATTTCTTGCTTGCACTCGTATAGAATGTTTGTGTTTGTGATCTTCAACAATTCTTGATGTCATGAAGTAGACAAACTGGTGATTGGAAATATTAGAAACGGCTTCTATCTGCAGTAATTTTCCGTTTGCGTATTCACACACCATACTGTAATTGTAATGCATCTTAATCTGGACCTGAAGATAGTCACCACCCAAATCTAGGTGACGGTGGTGAAATCCTGACCATTTGATGGAGAGCTGAAATATTGCCACATGCTTGAAACTAATTTGTTGCTGTAGCTGGTCAATCCTGAGCCCTTGATGGAGACTAAATTCCTGTAAATAAATCAAACACTTTTGTTCAGTGTTGATGTGTGATACGTAGTTCTGAATTAAAAAGAATCTGAATCATCTTGGTGTGTATATGGAATCCGATCAACACATTCAAGTTTCAACTGTGTAATATTGTCTACAAATTGATTTCCTTGACCAACTCTAACTTTGTATTTATTTGGAAGGCCAGCTGTTTCACTCCATTCATATATAATGTGTTTTGCAGACAGATAGAGCGACAATGCTTGATGAAATTGTGGATTATGTGAAGTTTCTGAGACTTCAAGTTAAGGTAGGTACCAAGTTCTCTTTGCTGCTGAATTAGTATGCAGCTTCATCCATTGCAATTCAATCATACAATGCTTTTTAAATCAAGCATGAACAGAATGCAGTAACTACTCTATACCATACGGTTTACAAACAAAAGCTTTCGCTCTTTCACATAGCAGAATTAGAAGTCTTCAGAAATTCAATGACCATGGTTTGCAAACATTAGTCTGAGTGTCACTTAGACTAGAAGTCAAAATAACTTGTGGCCAGATAGTGGCTCATTCATAAGATGAGAGCTTGACTGAAAGTTGTTCGATTTATGAAACTTGTCGTCGTTTTCAACAGGTTCTGAGCATGAGTAGGCTAGGTGGAGCCGGCGCAGTTGCGCCACTTGTATCGGAGATTCCACTATCTTCAGTGGAGGTGGGAACAACTTTTACTTTGATATGTGTAGTTTGATTTGCCCACATGTCTTTTTGTCAATGAAAAAGCATACGACCATACAGCAACAATATCTGTGGTTTCAGGATGAAAATGGTGATGGTGGGAGAAGTCAACCCGCATGGGAGAAGTGGTCCGACGATGGCACAGAGAGACAAGTAGCCAAACTCATGGAGGAAAACGTTGGTGCCGCCATGCAATTCCTTCAGTCAAAGGCGCTCTGCATCATGCCCATCTCTCTGGCATCGGCCATCTGCCACACGCAGCCATCGGATCCCCCAGCCGTTGTTAAACCAGAAACAAACCCACCATCGTAGCGGAAAAACATAATCAGTGAAGAAAGGGGCTGATCCCTAATCCGAATTACAACTGGTAAGTTCGTCAATGGGCGCTCCCACATATTGGTGCCCCGTTTCAAAAAGGTCTTTCTTTCTTTCTTTTGATTCTTGCTGATCCTTATTGTTGCAATATATATGCTTTAAGGGTCCCAGGCGGCGTTTTGTCCCATTCGAAAGACTACGAATTAAATGTTGTTGGGTTGGGGGCTATGTCTAAAATTCCAAATTGCAATCAAAGTCAGATGCCATGCTTCCTCTTTACAGATTTTGTTTCTCTTCTTTCACTCCTGGTGACTATTTTTCTGAAAACAGGGTTGGATGTCAAATGCCTAAACAATTACAGGCTCTTCTTCTTTTTGGTACCACCACCGGTGGGGATTGGTGGACGATGATGGAAGCACCTTTCTTGCTTTCTTTTTTCTTCCCTCCTTTTTTCTCTTACTAGTTAATGGAGGGCTTGCTTTGCTTTGCTTTTCTTTTTCTTCGCGGTGATGGTTAGTGGATTGTGGGACCTTGTAAAGGAGTGATGGATGGGTATATAATATATGGAGGGACTTGTTGAATCTCTACCGGTCGGCCGGATTAAGTCTGACCAAAATTGGGCTTCAAAACAGTCTCCAGAATGTTACTGGTCTGACCGTTAGAAAGAGTGAGGGGGGAGTGGAGAGCAGGGGATGGTTGGTCATGGTTGTTGGGTTTCATTGAAAGTGACTTTCTAATAGATAGATACTTGTAATGAAAATTTTATCGAAGTTATTAAATTTTCAAATTACTATTTTATTTGGGATTAATTGTAAGGTTGGTCACTGAGATTACTAAAAAAGTCACTAAAAATATTTAATTTCATTTGTGATCACTAAAATTAATAAAACATTTCAAGTTCGGTCACTCTCCGTCCAACTCCGTTAACTTTGGCTGATGTGGCAGTCAACTTTCAAAGTTGACCGTTAAATGTGCGACGTGGCAGTTAAATAATGATAAAAAAATTATATTTTATATTTTAAAAATTCCACCTAATTATTATCATCACTAAAAAAAACCTAATTCTTCTACTACCTCCGCCGAACCCGCTTTCTCCTTCTCGACTCCACCTGCCGCCATCACGCATCAAGGTCCGACATCAGTGTTTCAAGCTAATAATTTTTTAGAATAAGAGATACCCGCCCGACCCGTCCTGACCCGTGCCCCATGATAAATTACCCGACCTGTACTCGACCTGCGACAGGGCGGGTATGGGCACAGAGATACCCGCTCGAACCTGCCCATTGCCATTCCTAGTTTGGGGAAATAGATTGTTGGGTTTAATTCTCTGCAGGAGTTTGATGAGGCGAGGAAGAGAAGAGGATTTCTCAGTCGAAGCTCTTGGATCCTGATTCCCCTCTTCGCTCCTGGATCTTGATTGTTGGGTTTAATGCTGCTGCAGCTCGTCGTGCACGGCGGGGGGCGAAAGGCGACTGCGTGGCGCTCTGCTGCTGCCCCCTCACGGTCATTAATTTCTTGGCTCTTGCATTCGTCAGGATCCCGTGGATGGTGTGGTGACGGTGCATTGGGACCATGTGGCGGCGGAAGAAGAAGAAGAGGAAAGGAGCGTTGATGATGGAGATGGTGACGTCAGCAAGCGGCGGCGCGGGGAGTTGTGAAGAAGGGAGTGGGAGTAGCGGAAATGGGGAGGAGGGGGAAATGATATAAGTGGTGGAGACGTCGGATGGCAGCCGGAGCTTGAGGATGTCGGGGATGACGAGGAAGATGTCGCCGGCGGAGGGCGGCGGAGGAGCGCCAAGTATGAGGCGGAGAAGGTTTAATTAGAGCTCTACCAGGTTGGTCATTTTGTAATTTTGTTTTGTTAGGTTTGCTCGGGTTTGGATCTGGGTAGGGTTAGGTTTATGGGTTGGGTGTAACATCGCGAGTTTAGTGACGTGTCAAGTAGGGTTTGATCATTTTCGGCCCAAAACGACGCTGACTGGGCGTTCCCGTTAATCATGTCAGCACATAACAGGCTTTATTAACGGAGTTGGACAAATACTGACGGAGAGTGACTAATGACGTAAAACAAGTGCTTGTTGGGAAGCAACCCAACATTGGTTCATATTTCTTTTCTTTATTTTTCTCTTTTTGTTTGAGTCGAGCGGTGAGTTTAGAATGTTCACCGTGTCACGGTTCATGTGTTTGAATGCTTGATTGAATCGTGATTGAGTTTGAGGCACAATTGAATCGTTTGAGTCTTGAGAATTGTGAAGTTGCCCTATTATGACTGCCACTGTTTTAGGCATATTATCACGGTCATCATACCGTTTGAGGCACAATTGAATCGTTTGAGTCTTGAGAATTGTGAAGTTGCCCTATTATTATGACTGCCACTGTTTTAGGCATATTATCACGGTCATCATACCGTGATAATGTGACAAAGATTGTGATAATTGTTGGCATCTCCCCGATTTGCACACATCACGGCCAAAGGGAATTTGTCATGGGCAATTGCTCGTGATAATTGCCCAAACTCACTATTTTTTGTTAGGATCACGTTCACTTTTTTATTGTCACGGTCTCCTGCCGTGACAATTGACCTCCTCCGGCTAGATTTTCGACTGATTTTCGACTCTTATACCTTCTCCTCAGCTTCCTTACTAATCCTAGTTTAGTCTTCGTGTGTGCTTTCATCTTTTACTTGATCAATTTTGGAGAATTGGATTTAGGGTTCTTAGATGGGGAGAATTTGGATATGAATAATCAAAATTGAAAGTGAGAGTGAGAGTTGATGAATGATGATGAACGGTAGGGGTGTACATGGGTCGGGTGGTCCGGGTTTAGCCATTTTAATCACCCGATCCATGCACTACGCTTTGGAAAATATAAAATCCAAACTCATCTAAAAAATTAAAACCTTATTAATTTTTTCTAATTGGGTTGGGTTGTCGATATTTTTAAGTAAAAACACAACCCAACACAAAAAAATGTAATTATTCTACACCAAAAAAATATTATATAACTAATTAAAATTTCAAACGAATAAACCACGTGAAAGACATCAAAATGTACAATGATGTTTGAATTTTAATAAAATGTGATTTACTTCAACATATGTCTAGTATATGTCTAGTTTTTTTCACGATAAGAGACTACTTGACATCAAGAGACAACTGAACACCACAACATGGAATGGAGTGGCAAAACCCTTGCCTCGGAATGACTACTTGTCAATCCACCACAAGATTTTATTCATGGCTTAAGAAGTTAAGATGAACATTCTGGGTGCAGGTGCCACATCCAGCATCATATAAAACACATCATCCCAATCCAAATGAGCCAAGGATTTATGGAAACCAAACATGACGGACTGTTCTGGTAAGCCTTCTAGCAACACTACGAAATTGCGTCACAACTTCATATATTCTGCCAAGTACTAGGTGGCAATCATGAAAGTACAAACAATTGGTTATCCTTAAAAGGGAACAACAAAGAGCAGCATGATGATGAAGCTCCGATACCTGAAAAGCTTTTGCATTATTGGAAGCTGACATTTACCACTACTTAGCATGCATCAAGATCACGGCATGGAGGAGGTTTTGGGTCAGTGAGCAGAGTAGTATTGCCTCCTTCTGGTCCACTCATGATACGTTTTGCGTTTTGCGTTCCAGGCTGATAATTGAAGCGAGGAGAAATTAGATTTAAAGCATTCACACGGTTAATGAAAGCCATTGAAGAACAGAAAAACTATAGAGGCCTTACTGGCAACTTTTCCCCCTTTCTCAGCAACTCAACTATCTCCACGACTCGTTTTGGAGTGACGTCTTCCTGCAATTGAAGCAAATAAACCATCCAAAAGAAGTCAAGGCCACCAAATGTTTTACGCTCTAACGTCAAAAGCCAGAGAAAGATTTCATGCACTTACATAATAATTATACGAGTATCCTTCTGATCCACTAGAGTAATCTGCAACGGTAATCATAGGTGCATTTACACAGCTTCCCTGCACAAGCAATGAATGTTAGTATAAAGACATGCTGTGGTCAATACAGTAGTCAAATAAACAACAAAAGCATTCAAGAGCTATCCTCGTCCCAAATAAAGGAGTACCCCCACAAAAGGTCTCTTGAGAAAGAGAAAGATTCAACTTTATATCCACTACGAAGACGGGACTTACCATACATTCCATTTCACCAACAGAGAAAAGACCGTCCTTTGTTACTTCTGCACATTAAAATTGCACTACACTCTTATTCACCAAAATATACTATACATGGATCTCCACAAATTCAGGTTCACATGGAAGAGCACAAAATTATACAATTGGAACTGACCATTGCGCTTCACTCCCAAGTGTTTCAGCAGTGCATCTTCAATTTCTCGAGACCCACGGATCATGCATGGTGTTGTTCCACAAACTAAAAGGTGGTACTTGCCAACCTGAGTAACAGACAGAATTTGTTCATTGCAAGTAATGTTGCGTCACAATAGCAGAAGACTGTAAACTAGCCGGGTGGGGGTTGTGAGGAGATATTATATTAGATTACTTACTGGTGTTCGGTTGAACATGGAATAAAATGTAGCCACTTCATAGACACGGATTGGAGCAACTTCAATAACCTTAGCCACCTGAGTTGTTCACAAGGGAGCTGATGATGAGAGAGTTATTCTAACATCATCATACAGTATGAACAAGAGTAAAGTCTTCGGAATTTCAAACGGTTAACAAAACAAATCAATTAACTTGCAAAGGTCAAGCATTCACAAGTGAGAAAATGCACTGGAAATTCGCCTGCTTTGCTAGAACAAAAATCATCCAACAACCTAGTCAGCTCCACATACCACATGCGGGGAAAGCAATTCTGTCTTTTTCCGTAGAGGAGCAATTTCACAGAAAGATGACGGAACATCTTAGAAATCGAAATTTGGTACATGTTGCAGTTCATGGGCAAACTTGAATTCTATGATTCTATCAGTTCATGGGCAAAGGCGTTCAAGGGAAAAGGTAAGCTTCAATACACTGGAAAATACATAATTTCTTATAAACTCTCCACGGAAAATATTCCCATACTACCTTCATTAGATCCCCATATGCCAGCAGCCTGAGTCATGCATACGGTAAATTTCATCCCGTTTTGATGATATAGGGTCAAATAAAAACAACTTCATCTTTCAAATAACAGATCCATCTTTCAATGCAAAAAATAAGTGAAAACATTGTGATAGTAAGGTGCTGATACGCTTGTCAAAAGCAAATAGAAAGCTATTGTACTTCATAGTTGTTCTCATACCAATAAATATTACTTCAATTTGGCACCCGAGCCATAGAATCAATTTCATACCGCATTCATAGCTGAAACTGGGAGCCATCCTCCATGCTGCTGTTGTGCCAGATCTAGCAGGGGAATTACTGCAGATTGCTTGTAGTTGGATGGGTAATGAGATATTATCTCTTTAACCTGACAACAGAGTGCTAAACATTAAAAATAAAAGATTAAACATTGCTGCACAAATAGGTATATTAATTGTACCAATGGAACTAGTCGGATTTTACTCTAGTCACTATTAAGCAGGGGTTAACTGTTTCATAACCAAGGTAAAAGAAGTCATTGGAGGACTTAAAGAGGTAATTCTTGCACACAACAGATGTTCACAGAAACTATAGCCAAGTTTGAGAACAAATCAACTATACTACAAAGCCTAGTTTGAAAGTATTGCAAAAGAAACAGCATTTCTTAGACTATCACAGTTGGACTTCAAAGACATGCAGTCTAGATTAAATTCAAGAACAATGTCAACAGATATGTTCAAAACTAATCTAGAGTTATTACAGCGAGAATAGATTGCTATGGCATCATATTTTCAACAAATGCGCAAAAGAGAACGAGGGTTTCTGATTGCACAAAAGCACTCCAGTAAGCAGGTAATACATGAGAGGCATAAATGACCCAACAAAGTGTTCCAAAAATTTATGACACTGCAGCAAGAATCCTACATTGGTTCACAATTGTTGAAGACTATCAGTTCGGAGGAATTAAATCACCTAGTAATCCATTCACATGAAACAGAAGCATAATTGTTAATCCTGTAACACTACAGCTTATCTAGAAAAGACAGCAAGATAAATTATAACTGTGGTCAAAACATCAATCGAGCTAAGATGATACTGCTAGATTTTCAAGCAACCCCAATCGCGATCCAAATCAAATGGTCATGTTTTTTTTTCCATGATACAGACAAAATCCAAGAACGAAAAAGGTTAAGAAGACATTCAGTTATTCCCCAAGTTCAATGTCCAGGATATCTCAGCCCTTCCACTACATATGGGTCAGAAGTTGGTCTAATAGCACACCAAATACTGACATTTGGAAATAAGGTTCGCATACAGTTTCAGAAGGTAGAGAAAGGTTCACTTCACTGCGGTAAAACTAGTTAAACATGTGAGAAACGAAAGAAAGAAGCGTGCCACCGGAATCAAATACTATACAATTCGCCTTACTAACAGCTGCCTAATCAGCAAAACCCAGATAAATGCTCAGAAGATTGGCATAGCTTCCAGTTCCAGTCATTACCTTCTCCTGGTTTTGGGAATTGAACTCCCATGGCATGTCCGGATTGTTATCCGGCGAATCGATGTGCTGCACAAAGATGAACCATTTTCTTACAGAAGAAAAATCACGGAAATGGAAACCAAACAGAAAAATAATCAAGAAATTCACAGATGCCAAAGGACTCACATAATTCAGAGCAGATGAGAAGGAACGGGAAGTCTGCGGCGAACGAACGAGTGAATCAAATTAGAACCATTGAAATGAGATTCGGCGGGAGACTTGGATCGGTCGACGGTAGAAACTTGGATGAGAAGGAAAAAGAAAAAAAAAAGCAGTGGAAGCAGTGATTGGTGACCTGAGCAGCTCGCCGGAAAGCTTGACGGATCTCCAGGAGGCGCGTGGCTGCCAGACGACCGAGCATTTTCCCCAAATTGTGACGAGAGACGGCGGGCAGGGCGGGGACGGACGGTGACGGAGCGGACACTGAGTTGGTGGACGGAGACAGAAATGAATGCACAAAACCAAATGTATTCCTCTTCGGCTCTTCCTAACATTCACAGGGTGTGCTGTACGCAAATGGGCCATGGCAGATATAGTGCAAGCGCTGCAGTTGTCCTCTTCAAGCCCATCTAAAAGCCCAGCGGGCCAGCCATTATATCTCAAAGCCTGGCCCGTCCTATCAAGCCTGTATCTGCCACATGGGAAAGGGGCAAGCCGAAACAGGCGCTTGAAAATTGGAATCCTCTCTTTCCTCCATTGGTAACATACCTAGATTGACCAGGCTAAAGGGAAGCATTCCTCCAAGTCTGGGGAATTGCCAAAATCTGAAGAATTTCAATATTTCTTCCAACAGATTCTGTGGAAGCATAGCCAGCGAAGTTATTAGGCTTTCCCCTCTCTCAATTTCCTTCGTTTTGTCCAGTAATTTCTTGGAAGCTGACGCCGGCCATGGATATTAAAGAGACTTACAAACATTACAAAATAGTCTGACAAATATAACTAAACAGACGATGTCGCCGGAAAATCCCCCATCGCCATAAAATCCTTTCCGTCGCGCCTCGCCGATGATCGAAAAATCTCTCTCTTTCTGCGCACGAGGAACTCCATGGTGGGGGAATATATTTCCCAGCCCCCCTCTCTGGGGAAAATAAATTGCAAATGGACCGCACGAAACGCCGAAAAAAACCGGAATCCCTGGCCGACAGGAGACAGACAATAGAATTTTGTTAATTAATTAATATAGTCATGCAATTACTATATTGTCCTTCATTAAATTAGATTAATCTGAGTCACTGAATTTTAATGAGGTTGAAGGGCTGAGATTCACTTAGTCATGTGACAAAAGACCCCCCTTAATCACCTTATCTTAGCCCCTAATGGAGGGTAAGGATTTGCACTACCCATTAAAGATCATCCTCTGGCCGGTCGGCAAAAGATTCCTCTACCAACTGCAATTGCATGAAGCGGAATCCGGGTATTGGATTCACCACAGAAGCCGCGTTCGTTTCATGTGCGGTGACGCTTGCTGTGGCTTTGATTGAAGAGATAGAATCGGTGGGTTTGAATGGGCGTTGTCCAACTTTCCACCGCCTTATCCCTTAACTGTGAGGCTCGGCCTACCAGCTCGCCGATTGGAAAGGCCAACGACATCAAGCTAAGAACTCCACCATGACCGACATCTTCGGTCTCAACATACACCTTAGTACTACGGATTTTGTTTTCAGCTAGGAATTCCAACATCATGTTAACCTCATCATCGTCGGATATGACAACTCTTTCGTACGTTACACCGCCTCGGCCGATGTTTGAATATTGGTAAGTAATTTTACAAACTCTTGTCTACCCCACAAACTCTTTCTACACAAATGTCATATAGTTCTTGCCACGTGAATCTGGTCTCAAATATCAACTTACTGGATTCACCATCTCCATAACCGATCCCTCTTTGAGAATTTGTCATCTGACCATTCCACCGAATAAGAAGCTGGAACTTTCAAAATCTATCCATGTTTGCAATTTAAAATAACTAATGATCGCATATAACATCCAAAACCACATATCACATATAAGTTATAGTTAACTTTCAAAATATTTAGCATAATTAACACGATGCATGATTAGTGAAGTACAAACACAACTATTTGTACATGACCATAATAAACACATGCCTTTTAGTGAGAATGAGGGAATGAAAAGTGAGAGTTTTTGAAAGTGTGGTGGAGAAGAGGGGAGTTTCTTCTAGTAAGGCGGAGAAGAGGGGAAATGATTGTGAGTTAGGATGTTATGCTAGTTTATTATATTGAATTCAGATGAAGATCAGATCGGGTTAGTCTAAGCGATCAATTTAAGATCGCTTACGTCGAAAGCGACCAAGGCTAGGTTGCTTCACCTAACCCTAACTCGCGCCTAATATTGATCGCGTTATGGCGATTCAGTATGATTGCCGCTTACAAAAGCGATCAATGAAAAATGGTTACACCAACCCTAGCCTCGTGGAAAAACATATGCACCAACCCTAATCTCTTGTTCAAATGAAATCGCGGTTAAGGACAGCGATTTAAGCATGATCTCTTTTCTTAAAAGAGATTTTATTGATCACTTGCGACGACAGCGATTAAACATTAAATCATTGCTTTTCATCGCTTTCCTCTCAAGTGATCTAGTAATTCATCGGCTTTGTCACTAGCGATCGCGTGAAAAAAATTAAAAACTACTGTATCTGGGGGGTGGGGTGTAATCCGTTTAATTTGTGGATCTTTCAGTGTTTGAGTCATATGCAACCTTATAGTAGACCATCAAGAACCACATATTCCAGACTATACTCTCCAGAATCATGGATCCCCGTGGAAGAAACAAGAGCATGAGAGCTGAATAGTGGAAGATGCAACAACTCTAAGCATTTCAAGAAGAAAAATATATCACTATTAATATAAAAATAATCATCATCGTACTATTATTAAGCCATAAGGAACAACAATCTGCAGTCGATACACTAAGGGCAGAGTAAACCAGGCCATTCAATAACCGAATGGCAAAAAGCCGAAAACACAACACAATCTGTAAGCAACCGTGAATGACAGACGTGAAAACAGTAAACTTAAACGCTACTACTACTGCTGGGCACACTGAACCCGTTGCATCGATGGCTCATCATCGTCCTCATCATCTTCATCATATGCCTCACGATGCTGCTGCATCTTCCTGCGCCTATCCTCATACTCCATGTTCACATCATGCAAAGTCGTCTCTTCACAATTATCAATCTCCATATCGCTCAACTTCTTACCTGACCTTGATGGCAGTATGGTCTCTATAGTACCACACTGCTCAGGCGACAGAGCTCCATGCACTGGGAATTCCACCTTAAACCTGATATACAGCTGCCCCTTAATGAATGGCCTGCCGTGCTGAGGCATCCCCTCGTCATTGATCGCCTTGCACTGACCAGGTTTTATCACCTCTCCAGGATTTGATTTTATGAGCAGATGTCTCCCATCAAGATGGGTAAGCTCAAATTGGAACCCACAGAGTGCCTCAGTCAAGCTAATCGTGTGTTCCATTTCTAAATCATCAACTTTCCTCTTGAACTTGGGGTGTTCTTTAAGTTGCAACACAAAGACAATGTCCCCTGTGACTGTATCGGGCTGCAAAACGAGACAACTGAGTTACTAAACCTAAGCTACCAACAAACTGGATCATGCAGGCAGAAACAAGGTATGTTACTTACAGCTTCATCAGCTTGACCCTGGAAAGTTATTTTTTGTTCATGACGCATGCCCTTCTCAACATGAACCTCTAACACCTTCTTTTCTTTATTGACCTTGTTTCCTCTACAGTGAGGGCACTTATCCCTCTCGCTGATTACCTCACCTGGAAATCGATGGCGTTTTGAAAACTGATGGGAGAAATTAAAAACAATATAAACAAACCCCACTACTGCTACATGGAAATAGAATACCTGAGCCTCTACAGTCGGGGCAGATATGCTGCATCTGCTGAAACATGCCCAATCCAATCTGTCGAGTTGTAACTTTCATTCCTGTGCCATGGCATCCATAACATGTCCCAGACGCTCCACTCTTTGATCCCTTACTGAAAGGAATGACAAATCACACTAAGTTATCAGCTGGTTTCAGCACCACAGCAACAGAAACTAGCTGTGACTTAGATGAGAACCCTAAGATTTCATTTTAGCCTTCCGATTGAAGTCGTTTAGAACTCATAAGCAATGCATGCATCTCCAATGAAAAGGAGATAAACAACCCAGTGAACAAATAAGGTGGAAAATAACCATACCCTCTACACTTGGAGCAAAGAGCATTCCTCGACAGTGAGAGTGTCTTGGTCGTCCCATTGTACAAGTCCTCTAAAGAGACCTTCAAAGAGTGAACCACATCATCTCCTTGTCTCTGCCTTCTTCCTCTGGAACTGCCACCTCCTGATGTACATCCATATTTTTATCTTGGATTAATAAAACAAAATTTAAGCTCCTACAGGCTACAGCAAAACTAACAATCAACTGGACACAATAACAAGCATCAAGTGAATGAAAAATACGGACAGGCAACCTACAATAGCTCACCTCCAAAACCTCCCGAACCAAAAAATGATTCAAAAATGTCAAAAGGAGAATGAGCACCACCACCTCCCCCCATTCCCTCCTTGATGCCCTCTTCACCATACTGGTCATAGATTTCTCTTTTCTCAGCATCACTGAGAACATCATAAGCTTGGGATATCTCCTTAAACTGAAAACGGATAAACTGAATCATTGGACAAGGCTTCCACAAAACCAACCGCTATGCAAACAGCAAAAGTATTAAGATTTTCACAAACATCAACAACCAAATAAAAGGTCGTTAAGAGAGATTATGCTCAAACTCAAAGCATAAACTTTCCCCTCCCGTCTTCAATTAACATAACCCTTATAGCTCAGTTTATTAGGAAAGTAAAGGAACAAGCTTTAGACCAACAAAGGAACAAGCTCTCAAATTTCATGTAAATGAGACCCAACAAAACATGAATTTTTCCAAGGGCTACCCAACAAAAACTAGAAGAGAACTATAACAGCACCTACTATCCAGGCCCATCATGGCATAAATTTGACATGTCATGCCTGCAAGATTAGACACCAAGCCTTGGCGAGTCAAAATGCTAAGGAACCGAAAGAGTGCATGTGATAGCTTGGTGCCAAATAGAAATTCAAACAAGACTCGTGAAAATGTAATTTGGCCTTGCCTTCTCAGGATCTCCACCTTTGTCTGGATGGTTTTTAATGGCAGATTTTCTGTAGGCCTTCTTCAGTTCATCAGCACTAGCGGTCTTTGGGACACCGAGAACATCATAGTACTTGGAATTATCGCTACTACTCCTAGGACCTCCACGCCCAAACATGGTTGCAGCACTTCAGTCTGCACCATGTGCATTAAATGAACAGTTTTAGCAAAAGGAGCACAGCAGAGACATAACACCACAGTCAAATAAAGCAAAACATAAACCCCGAGTCCAAGAGTATAGAATCATTTGAGGAAGGAACTGAAACATACGACAGTATCTTCCCACTCATTTCCAAGCAATACCGCATGCGTTTTCATACAGCAACTACACTTGCAACTACAAACGAGCAATTATTACTCTCATACAGCCTGGTCTGATGTATCACGACACAAAGGCTACAAATTAAACAAGCTTCCACATTTCATCTCTTAAACACCAACATTCCAAGTCGGACTTTAAACCCCTGATCCAAGCACGGCAACAGACTCAACAAAGAGGAAAGGAAACAAGAGCGAACCCTAACTTAAAGAAACTACACAACATCCCAACAAAGTCAAAGTTTTGGCCGAAGGCCAAAACACAAGGAGAGCTCAAGGAAACCCTAAACACTAATTCCAAGAGTTCGAATTGAGCTACAGGAAGACAGTAAATGACACCATCAAGAGGGGGAGAAAGGAAGATCTATAGCAGTAGGAGATCCAAAACAAGAGAGGAACAAATAATCAAGACAAGACTTACGAGCGAGAAATCCGCTTCGGCAGGGAGAGAGTCTGCGGTTATTGTCTCCTGCTACTGAAGAATTTTCAACTGCTCGTCTCTCTCCCTTTGCATAGAGGTATCCTTTTTGCTGGAGAGACGATCTTATATACAGGATAAAAATACTTCGGGTACTACTTAAGTTTAAATAAGACATTGGATATCATTAAAGTCGATAAAATGTACATCCGTCTACTTTTTCAATCCAATCTAAATTTTTACTTAATTTTTTGTACCCGGAAATTTTAAAAACATTAAAACTATATTTCAACAAGTTTTATTTAATATAAAAATTAGAAAACCTTCTAAACATATTATTACTAAATGGCTAATCAAAATTTTTCATAAAATAGATAAATTAGTAAAAATTAAACGAATACTAAGAAAAATAATAAGTACACTAGAATATAATAAATAAATATTTAAAATTAGAATATCTATTTAAACAATCTAATTCAATTAGAAGCACCATTAAAAATAGTTAAAATAGAATCTAATGGATCATCAATACATCAAAACCAAAAAAAGATAAATGGAACACAATCATAAGAAATAAAACATATTTCAGTAATTGAAAAAACATTTAGAACGAAAAGAGACGAAAAGTAACCAAATAATAAATGAACAATAAAAGCTACAACATTCAGTAAAAAATGTAGAAAATATAATTAGGAAGAGAATTAGAATTACTAAATTTAACTAATATGAAACATCTCCAATATAATATTAGAGAATTAAAAGAAGATTTAACATGGAAAATTAGACAACATCATCGTGTAAGAGAACTAAATATAACATTCTCAGATTATTTATATCAAGATAGAATTCATAAGATATACTTGCTTCAGAAAATTATTCAATTATAAGAACACATAATGATAATAGAAAATACTGATAAAAATAATTGATTCTAAATTTTCTATTGAAAAATTAATTCTATCAAGTATTCAAAAGAGGATAATGATAATTGAAAATGCTACAACATTCTTCCAAAGGGGGGACATCTGGAGATAGTCACCTACTTTGATATGGAGATTCTCACCAACCTACTTTCACATGAGAAGGTTAACTTGTCATACTTAATCTTTACATACATGTTTGTTGTTGCAGAAAGTTCACACATGAATCTTCCCTATGGGATGATCCTCACTTTGTTATTTTGAGCATTTTAATGTGGATTTAAGTAGTGAGGTTGGCTTAAGAGTTTCAAGGAAGGAGTTATATATAGTTACACCCCTAAAATAATGGGATTTGAGCTGCATGATGGTGAGTATGTCCGAGCATACACTCCTCATGTGCTCCATGGTGGTGGTGATGATGATGTTGGTGATGGTGATGATGAAGAGTCTGGAGACGAACCAATTGTCCATCCATAAAGTTCAACTCCACCAGTCACCCTACAACGTATATGGGACTGCATGGATGGCGGGTACGACTACATGGGACAGATGTCCACCCAAATGACTGACATGTACGATTACATGGGGCAAATGACCACCTAGATGAGCACACTGCAGCTGACTGTAACAGAGATGCGAGACGAGTTCCGCTCTTTTAGTGGAAGATATATGCATCGCACCACATCCGACTACCATAATGCGAGCACCACCAATGAGAAAAATGTGGGTGAGTGAGTAGGGGAGAGATGTAGGAACTCCATGATTTTCGATTGTGTTCTTTTGTTGTTTTGTCTTAAAGACCATTTGGTTTGAAACAACTACGATCGTCAATTGATGTTATGTGGTTTTTAATTTTAGGTATGTGTGAACAATTATGAGTTGTGTTTTATTGTATTTCTTGTTAGTATGTCGAGTTGTTATGTTATGAAATTATGGTTTCTTGATATCATGATTGAGTAATGATTCTGTTGGTTTCAAACGTATTTTGTACGAGCAAACTAACACACACATCGACATACATAAGCAAAAAAGCTGAAGGTTATACGTTGATTTTCCTATACGAAGTAGACCTTTTACTATATGCGGTCGACCGTGAAACCAACAATTTTGATCTACGTTTCACGTTAATGGGAATGGATGAATAGATAGTACTTTAGTCTTGTATATGGTTGACCGCTTGTTGTACTTTACGGTCCACCATTTTACTTCTGACTAAATTGAAAGGTCGACCGAAAATTTAATGGGGTCGACCATTAAGGTATCGACTAACTAAACACGGTCGATCACTATGCTATGTAAGGCCGACCGTGAGGTTTCAGCAGAGTGACCACGATGGTGAATTTGGTTGGTTGCGTGTAGGCATAGGTCGATCGAAAAGTGAAGTTATGTTGACTTGCTAAGCACCATAGGTGCACCCTAAAGTTAATGGCTATCCAGATTTAGTTTGAACAAGTATGCTAATGCTAGTTTTTTTTTTTATATAGATAATATGCTAATGCTAGTTGGCAACATGGCATCAATATAGAGGGAGGCTTGATTTCTAATTGTTCATCTTTTCCTGGAAAGCACGACCGCGCCACGCAGTGTCAATCAAGAAGCAAGAATATTATTGGTATTTGGGTTAATTGTATGGTTGGTCACTGAGATTAAAAAAACGTTCAAGTTTGGTCACTCGAAATATTTAAATTCATTGGTAGTACTTCAATTTACTGAAACCGTTCACATTTGGTCACTCTCCGTCCAACTCCGTTAACTTTAACTGATATCGCAGTCAACTCTCAAGGTTGACCGTTAACTTAGTAACGTGACAACTAAAAATTTATTAAAAATAAAAAAATAAAATTTAATATTTCCCACCTCATTATTACATTCATTAAAAACAAAAAAAATCCTAATTTCTTTTACATTCATAAATTTTTATATTTCCCACCAAACTTTGCAATTAGGGAGGCTTGATTTCTAATTGTTCATCTTTTCCTGGAAAGCACGCCGCGCCACGCAATGTCAATCAAGAAACAAAACAATATTATTTTGGTCGAAGGAAACAAGAAGTTTCATTTCTTTCCCAAATATTCCGCTTTTCTAATAGTCCCATTTTCTCTACCTCCAACCAATCCCCCGCTCGCACTCGCCGCCATGGAAACTTCTTCTCCGGCACGGAACCCCAATCACCCTGGAGAAGGAGATCTGCAGCAGCGGTACCAGAACGTCGTCGTAATGCGGCACGGCGACCGGATGGACAACTTCGACGAGAACTGGACCAAGACCGCCGCCAGGCCCTGGGACCCGCCGCTCGTCGACGCCGGCCTCGCCAGGGCCTTCGACACCGGCCGCCACTTACGGGCTAGTCTCGATTTCCCCATCCACCGCGTCTTCGTCTCCCCGTTTCTCCGCTGCGTCCAAACCGCCGCGCAGGCTGTGACAGCGCTCTGCTCCGTTGACGGCGCCGTTATCGATCCCTCTAAAATCAAGGTCTCGTGTCCCCTTCCTTCCCTTCTCCTCCGATTTCCTCCTCGATCCATTTTCTGATTACAGGTGGGGGGAACGATACAAATACGTTACAGGTGGCCATTGAGTTCGGATTGTGCGAGATGCTGAACACGGAGGCCATTAAACCCGAATGCGCTCCTCCAAGTGGAGATTTTGCCTTCAATATCCCGGAGCTGGAGGCATTGCTACCAGCCGGGACAGTGGATCACACCGTCAAACGGGTATATGAAGAGGTACTGCTTCTGATTGCAACTAGAACACGTATCAAGAATTTGAGTCACATGACGATGGATTAGAAATTAGAATACGATTTATGGTTCTGGTTCTGGTTCTTCACCTCGCTTGGTTTTTCATTCCATTTCTTTTAGATGCCCCAATGGGGAGAATCAGTCGCGGCTGCCAGAACTAGATACACTGAAATCATCAAGGCTCTTGCTGATAAGTACCCTGCTGAAAACTTGCTGCTTGTATCTCACGGTAAGTCCCAATCTTGGTGGGTCTTTTTGGAAGGATGACTGTTCTGTTGCTTTCATGTCCTGCCATGAACTGTAACTAGATACAACCACTTGGGCGAGCTTGCTTGTTTGTTCATTCCTTACATTTGCTCTTCCAAAGCTGAGATGGTTTACGAGATGAAAAATGCTTGATGATTCTCAGGGGAAGGAGTTGGAGTCTCGTTCTCTGCATTTTCAGTCGATAAGACTGTTTATGAAGTACAGTACTGTGGCCATACCGAGTTAAGGAGGCCGGCCCGAGGGGGAGAGTTTGAGGTGAAGGGATACAATGGCATCCGTTACTGCTCTACAAGGACTTAAAAAAAGAAAAAAATCAGAACCAACCGGGGCTGCTGATAGATATATTGGTGCATTTGAGCTGAGTGACCTCATCATCTGGAGTTTCATTTTGTGAGCAGGACTAACTCTACTACAGTCGGGTCAGTCTTACCTCACCCATTTATAATTTGCTTGAACTATGCAAGTTGGACGACATACTGAGAAATTGGTGTTTCTTTCTATTTTCCCTTGTTCATTTGTTAACTCTGGAATAACATTGCAAATAAAGGAAGCGTTTCTGAAGTTGTTTTGTATGCGTTTTGGGTATTGGATGTGTGAAGAATTGGCCTTGGTCGGGAAACTGTTGTAGTACTAAGAGATGCATATTGGAAGGCATGGTTGTGTAGTGAGCTCTTGAGAGCGTTCATGCTCATTTAGGAGAAGTTGCTCTATTTATTTTGTTGGATCAGACATCCCTACGGTAGCTTTCAACGTTAGTATGTGTATGGAAGATTCTCTTTCTCCCAAAACTGCGATAAACTTATTGAGTTTAGACATAATTGATGAACAAAACTGCGATAAACTTATTGAGTATAGCCCCATAGTTTTGCCGGTCGTGAACGTCTTCGCTGCATCGTTCATAGACAAAGAGTTGTGATGCGGTCAGGTTCTGTCTCAACTTAGAGCATTCAAGTCTTTGATTACTTCTGAAAGTTGTTGAATTAGACCAACGAGAGGGTCATCTAATTGTTGTGCCATTTTCACGGTCATAGGAGCAGTCCTCCTCAACCAATTTTGAGACTTGACAGCCATTGACGCAAAATGCTCGAGATATCGAGAAACATTCATTTGGAGACCTTTGCTGAAGATGTATGCTAACTATTCTTGCCCATACCCATGACGAGGAAAGGAGCGATGAGCTCCTGAAATTGTTCTCGTGCTTCATATAACGACTCATAAGCGTTTTTTTCGTAAGCGAGCAATCTGGTCCCTGAGACCGAAGTTCTACATGGAGGGAAGAACTCTTCTATGAAGGCTTGGACCAACTTCTCCCATGTTCAAAAAGTCCACAGTGGTTGGCGATTTAGTAGCTCTTGATTTTCCCCCAGATGGAGAAAGGAAAGAGGGGTAGCCTGATTGTGTTTGGCTCTACAGCTGGATTTTGTGCATAATCACATATCTCCATAAATGTTTTGATATGTTCTACCATATTCTCTTTATTACGTCTGTCGAAGCGTCCAACATTTTGGACCATATAGATCATTGAAGTCCTTAGCTCGAAATTAGGTACACCAATAGGAGGTAGTGTCATGAACCAGTTGATCCCAATAGCTCGAGTTGTTGGGAGAAGGTAATGTTGGATCTTATACCACTCTCTAACAGGTAGGACATATGTGAATCCAATCAAGTTTGATTTTCTATTATCCCTGGTTGTTAAGTTCAATCTTATATTGGCTTAGTTATAATACAAAACCCTTCTATTTTGTAGTTACTACCTATATTAATGGTTGAGATTGGAGAAGATATGATCTAATGATCATCATTGCATAGGGGTAAAGAGGGAAAGTACGAGTTTGGAGGACAATTGGGCAAATGTTTTGGAGGCTTGTGCAGATCTCTAGGCACCACTCTTTTCAACTCTCATACAAATCTTCAACAAACGATATCTCATTCATTTACATCAAATTTCAAAAAGATTTGCATAGAGCAAAAAAATCAGGGCGTCTTACAACTGTCATATCATGATATTATCACTAAGGTAATGTCATGATATGACTGCGGTATGGTGATGTTGTTTGTCTTACAATAATGTTAAGTCATGGTATGAAAGTAGTAAGATGATATATAAAGTCTAACCATAGTGGTATGATTTTTTTTAGGATAAGGGTGATATAGATTTTACTCTTTGTGATTAGGTACTACTTAATAGATCTAACTTAGGACCTCCAGGTTCAAGACTAGCGGTATTACCACTAGACAAAGCCCTTGTTCGCAATGGTAAGATAATCAGATAATATTAAGCCTTATCTTCAAGACAAAAAAGTTGATGTCATCATATCATGATATTATCACTATGATAAGATTACCTCATATATGTGGTACCATAATGGTAAGATGCTATTATAATATCATGATATGATACTATTATCTATTTTACCATAGTGGTGTAATATGGTATTATAAAGTCTTAACATAGTGGTATGATATTGTTATGACACTTGTAAGATATAATGAAGTCTTATATTTTAGAAAAAATTAATGTCATCATACCTCTGTCATATCATGATATTATCATAGTGAAGTCTTAACAATATCATGATAAGACAGTGATATGATAGTATTGGCTGTCTTACCATATTGGTAAAATCATGATATGACAAGATGACTATAAACAAATGTTTTTGAATGAATAATTTTTTTCCTTTCTAAAAATATAACAAAATGGATGTCATTGTGTATATCATAATTACTGAGCTTGTAAAGTGATTTTATTATGAATCTTTGACTAAAGCTTTGTATCTGTTCGATTTGGCGAACTTTTGGTTTGTGACGCTCCACACCGATTTTTTTAGAAATTCAAATGATAGGTTTCCAAAACCAAAATACAAGGTTTCCATAGAAAAAAATTCCTAAAAAGATTTAAGGAATATACTATTCAGTATTACCATTATCATGGACCTTAGTGTAAAACTCCAATAACATTAATATGGTCAAACAAAAATGTGTGAAAGCATGGTTATCAAACCACTAGTATGTCGCTCGGTACAACCGTTATTGGACAAAATCGACTGGAAGCCACCGTGTGAAGCAATAGTCATAACTGGTAACAAGTTTGATGATTTCTCATTATGTTCGCAATGTAGTATTTTGTTTAAGTATGGATTGGATTATAGCTAGATTTAGGGATGTCAATGGGTAGGGACGAGCGGGATAGTATATCCATTACCATACCCACAATAGTTCGGGTTTACCCATATTATTACAAGAATCGGCTATAATATTAAAACCATACTCATACCTGATTGGGTTTCGGGTATCCACTGTTAACCATGAGTAATAATTTTGATTTATACCTTCAACCAAAATGTTAATAATTTAAGATATACGGACTTACATAAGTGAAAAGTTAAATCAATAATTTACTAAAATGAAAAGTTAGTTGAAAATAATATAATTTCGTGAAAATATTATATATGTATGGTACATATCAAATCTATTGAGAAAAATAATGATCATTTTTAAACAAAATATATATGTATGTGTATAATCTGGCTGGTTCAAATTGGATAGTGAGAAAATCATGCTCACCCATCAACGCAAATATTTGGGTTCGAATTTCCCCATAGCCATTAAAAAAAAATTGGTTATGATTTGACCCACCCGATCAGGTCGCATTCGAGCGGGTATCCACGATTATGGTTATTTTTGCCATCCTTGGGTAGATTGTCTTAAAACTCGACTGTTTGGAAAAAGGTGTTGCAGCTAGATATAAACGTCCATTTTATTTAATGTTAATGATTTTACACTTCCTCGTATGTTCTGTCAAAACCGACATATAAACTTATTGCACCCCAGTTGGAGCCATGGTTATCATGCCGGTGGAATGCCCGGTGTCGGTCATGAAGCCGGTGTGAATACCAACATTATAACCGGCAAGATTGATTTACGACCTCCAAACAAAATGACGACGTTTTAACGAATTACATTAGTAAAAATTTATTTATTATTCATTTTATGAATTCAAAAGTTAAATATTGATACTATTTGTTGGATTCAAGTATAAACTTTTAGATATTGATGTTAAATATTGTATTTAAATAAAAATATTTTTTATTTTATTTGGAATGCCAAACTTATTTAAATATGAATATGGATTGTAAGTAAATTAATTTCGAAAATGTTATATATATAATTAACTTTATTTGATATTAATAATTTTTCATATTTATATATGTTTTGTTAAACGAGCATAAACCAGCATAAATTACTTATACCACCGATAAAATCATTCACACTGGTTAAATCAACTCAAAACCGATTTAACAATTTTGGTCGGGCTACCACTTACTAAAGTAAAAACCGGAAGTTCATCTCTTTTCTTCATGCTCCTCTCCGCGGCGTCGACTCGAGTCATTCTCTCTCTGTCTCCTCTTTTTTTCCTCCTCCGTGTTTTCTCTTCTCTCTCTCTCTATCCGTACAGTGTTTTCTCGGGGGTTCTTTTTTTCCAGATTTAGATCATTCCATTCCATTAAAACTCCTCGAAAATTGTCCGAATCAGCCGAACCCCACGTCGTATTCGTCCCAAAAATTGCCCCCCTCTTCTTCCCCATTTCAGCTCGCCTCATTCAAGGTTTCTCCGCCCTCAGATCACTTCTGTTTCTGTGTACTTCTCCCTATACAAGGAACAAATAATTACAGTACAGTTGCAGTTCCCAAATAGTGCCAGATGCAGGGGAGCAGCGCAGAAGAATCGGGTCGGTGTCAGTTGACGGGCTTCTGGGGCGGGTCGTCGTGTTGATTAATGTAGAAGAATAATGCGAAGGTTACGGTGACGTGAATCTCGTGCCGTTTTGATTGATCTGCCTCGAGCTTCCAAAAGCGGCCGGCTGGGAGGTTTGCATAGGGAAAATGTCGTGCGCTTTCTTGGCGGCGGAGGAAGGAGCTGAATGAGTGAGCGAGAAATAGAGAGAGATGGCGGCCGGCGGGGTGGAGATGGCGGCGGCGGCGGCGAAGGCGAACCGGTTGGCGGTGAAGGTGAGGAGGGAGGTGATTGAAGGTTGCATGACGTGTACTATCTGCAACCGGCTCTTCAGAGACGCCACCACCATCTCCGAGTGTCTTCATACCTGTCAGTTTCCTTCTTTGTTCCTCTTTTTGGGGTCTCAATTTGACGGGGGTTTCTTCTTCTCTCGACTGAAAACGTCAATTGGCGTGCCGGTTCCGTAATTAATTTAGAGTCAACTACGTGGCCTATTGTGATGCATCCGTACTGGGGTTGGGTTTGATCTCTAAGCTGAGTTGCTTGCGATGTAGTATCAAATTATGGCGATGATGATGAATGGGGTTTTAGTGGGTTCTGCTAATTAATTTCCATGGCAAAAAAAGGAAGGAGCTTTATGGTTTAGTAATGTGGATAGAATTCTGCAACTTTATTTTGCTGATGTTTAGTTTGTGCGAGTCAGTTGATTGTGTTGATCTGTTTTGGAAGACGGGCTACTGTATCTTGTGAATTTTATCGATACATAGACTCTGGATCATCTGCATCACTTGCTTCTTGATCTGATTGTGTTCCCCAAATTAATTTGTTTCCGCCACTTAACACGCAGTTTGCAGAAAGTGCATATACAAAAGGATATCCAACGATGGACTAGAATCATGTCCTATCTGCAATATTGATCTGGGCTGTGTAGCGCTGGAGAAACTAAGGTTCTACCCTTTCCTTCTAAAAAATTCTTTTTCATTTTGGCTACAAAACTGGAGTTCATTAGGTTCGCTCGTGTATGGATATTAGTATATTTGCTGGTGTTCACATGCCAACTCCAAAGCTTCATCTGAATTATTTGATCATTACGTACATTTTATTCATTATGATTGCGCGTCACCACTTCTATGCATGTTGAGATGTATGCGGTTATGTATCATGTTGTCAATATATATAGTTTGTGAAGTCGCAAGGGTCCTTGCCCCCTTCTGTAATACATTTTGACGTTTGTCTGTCGTGTTCTATACTTCCTCATATGGCCACATTGAATGGAGGATTTGTATTTGTGAGTTGTGAAGTTGATAACATTGCTTTGTGGAGAAATAGATGTCAGGGGGATTCGGATCCCATGAGCTCTACAGTTAGATAGTTTCAGTCTTTCGTTTCCTGGCAGTAGTGGGCTTTAGTGTGCTTCTCTTTCGTTTCTTTAGATGGTTTAGTCTGGTTCTTTTAGGTCTGAAGAAAAGCCAATGAAATGAAATTGCACAAATGTGGGTAGTCAAAAACGTTTTCTGGGGTTTTTTCTTTTCTCCTCATTTGAACATGCACAAATGTACCATTTTCCAAAAACCTTCTATCTCTTTTGAGAATCTAGACTAATTCATCCATGAAATCAGGGCGGATCACAATTTGCAAGATGTGAGATCAAAGATCTTCCCATTCAAGAGAAGAAAGATTGTGGCACCCGATCATGTCACTCCTGAAGAATTCCCTGATGTTACTTCTGACGTTTCACCATTGGTCCCATTAACAGTTAGAAGAAAGGAGAGGTCGCTCTCATCATTAGTAGTCAGTACTCCAAAAGTATCGACACAGAATACGACAACAGGAAGACGAACCAAACTTGCGCCTAGAAAAAGTAGTTCTGCTACAAGGAGCTGCAGTCTCCCCTTAGATCATAAACCTATTGAGAAGGACGATGATGACCATGTGGAAGATTTCCCTGAGAGTTCAAGTTCACGAGAAACTGATAAGAAATTCGACAGAAATGGAAGAAAGGTAATGAAATATAAGAACATGTTCTTCCCTTTTGTTGGCGATTCTGCTATGCTTATCTAGTTATTACCAACCACTAAGATAACCAAATGTTTTTGCTGGTTCATGCAGTGTTCATCGGCTGAGCCAAGCCAATCTGCTTCTAATGCTGAAGCACCAGATATTGGTGGTGAACCATTGGATAGGAAATCTGATCTCTGGCAACCTTTAAATTTTTTGGTGGAAGTTGCAAGTAGGACCAACTCTTACAAGTCGAATAATAATTCACAACTTCCTGATGATAAATTAGAGTCTATTCATCTCCCTGAAAGTGAAGCTTCGTTTAGGAAACCCAAGTATAGGGAAAATAAGGACAAGTCAAATGTTGATGATGAGAAGATCCAGATATATACTGATTCCCAGGAACCAGAAGAACCAAAGAAGCAGCGCAGGATTCGCCGAAGGAAGCCATCTGTGAATGATTCTGGTATCTCTTCTCAAGCTGTCCTAGATGCTTCAAGTTCAAAACAAGAGAGAAGAGCCACTCCTGTTTGGTTCTCATTGGTTGCTTCCATTGAACAGTAATAATCTCGTCCTCACTTCTTTTGAGTTTGAAACAAGACTGTCAATGTGGGAAATTTCTGTGACTCTTGTTCCAGTTAGTTATATGTATATGCTCACAGACACTATATCAATTTTGTAGGGAAGGAGATGCATCTTTGCCACAAATCTCAGCAAACTACTTAAGAATTAAGTGAGTTATGTTATACTTCATCTCAAATTTTTACATACTAGTTATGTTTTAAATGGATTTGTTATCTGAGTTTTATGGCTCTGGTGATATTTAAATGGATTATGCAGACTAGTATGTCAAGAGAAGTGCTTGGTTGTTATGTAAGCAGGAGAAACGAATGGAACTTGTAGATGGTTTTTGCTGGAAAAACATTTTGCCTTGTTCATGATTATGATTACCTGAACTCGTATTTCTTATGTGATGCATACAGTTTAAATTTCAGAGGTACTCCTGGGAAAATGTCTTGAGTTGAAGAAATCCCTTTGAAAGGAAACTATGTTGTTGCTAACTGTTTCCCATGGAACAACAGAGTATCTGTTTTATTGTGTTACTTGGGTTTCTTTTTGTATTTTTATTTTGTATAATTCTTTGTTGCTATTCTGAACTTCCTGACATGGTTCTGTTCTTTGATTTGGCAGTGATGGAAGTATACCTGTTTCATTCATCCACAAGTATCTGAAGAGGAAACTAGACCTCCATAGTGAAGAAGAGGTAAATGATCTAACGCCTGATTAAGTTTAAACTCCGCTGGTTTCTTCACTCACAATCTCAAAATCCATCCTTTGTTCTTTCTTCTCCCCCAACTGGAAACCCCATCTTTGCAGTAACTGTCCCGTTGAACTCACTTGTCTTGATAGGTTTACACCTCGACTGTCCGTGAATGAGCATGATTTGACTGCTCTCTTGACCTGTAGTTAGTTAATTGCTCATGTTGACGTGTTTGCTTTTGACTGCTGGGCTGTGTTATTCAATGAAGTACACATTCCCCTTCTGCACAAGAAACGGCTGGCTTCCGCTTCCCTTTGCTTGATTGCACGCAAAGGGAAAGCAAAATAGACACAAGTTCATCGTTTAGCAATTCGACTGAATCTTCCTTGTTTCGCTTTTTCTTTCCTGTTGCAGATTGAGATAAAATGCATGGGACAACCAGTCCTGCCAACGTTGCAACTGCGCAATCTAGTTGAGCAGTGGATCCAGAAAGAATCAACATCAGAAAGAGGTGAAGCCAGGGTTGGTTCGTCAGCCAAGGAGTTCGTCATGGTTCTCGCGTATGCCCGAAGGGAATCAAAGAGCAGCAGCAATTAGCCACCATTTGGTTGACTGCATTATATGTACGGCGCTGGATTTTTCCGCCCAACACTCGGGCAACACCATATATATGTACACACAGCTGAAGAGCAGGCTCAAGGAGTTGTTTACCCACGCAACACAACTACACAAACACAACACAGCCCACGACACACCACAATACCACATACAGTTAGTTGTCTTTGTTTACAATAGTGAGCATGGCGTTTTCATTTCTGATTCTTTTTACTGCCGAATCATTTCATTACATGAGTTCTTTGGAATGGGATGTACTCTTGCAATGTGGGCAGTAGCTCTGGAAACATTTTTTTTTCTTCTTCTCCATTGATCATTTCCAAGAACGATGTGGTACGGCCGATCTATCTGGCGATTTCATAGTGCTGAGCGTCCTGGTTTTTGGTGTACTGTTGGTAGCCAATACGCGGCGTGGACTCCGAGGATCGATCCCATCGTACATACAACACGTTTGCCTTGTTGACCAATCGGACATAGGGTGTTCAAATGGTTACTATAGTAATTGTCAAACTAAATAAGTCTAAATTCTATTAGCTATGGAAGACAATATCATAACTCAACCGTCCAAACTAATACGACAACCAAATTACCCAAACTAAAATTTAATCGGTTTGGTTAATTGGTTAACCAATATACCACCACATTATCATTAAGTGAGAAAAATTTAATGTTTGTGCATCAATTCGTAATTTATATAATGAATAAAATAGAACAATCAACCCAAAATTATAGTTAACCTTAACACATATGCATGTACCTAATACAATTATCCAAATTAGCCAAACCAAATTATCCAAATACTACCGATTAAAATGGTTACCACGATAACCACACCGTTTGAACACTCCTGTTCGGACAACAATGATGTCCGTTTTGGTCATGTTCAGACACCCTGCTAATTAGCTCATTGTTTGTTCCACTGATCACCCTCGCAATTAGCCCAATCCTCATCCCCTTGCAAACTTTCGTCCGTCTCCCAAACCTTCAGCGCCACCATCGCCGACCTTCTTTCTTGCAAGAAGTGAATGCTTCAATCAATGAGTTACCTTTGTCGGCTGATCGCAATCAAGAAAAGATGGTTGTTGTTGAAACTACTTCAAGTGATCATGAGAATAATAATATCATTGCTCAAGCAATAGACAATGATTTTATGAGGATGAGAGTGAGGTCGAGGGTGAGGATGATGATGTTGAGGATTTAGATGCTAATATTGATCTTAACGATCTTATGTGATTTTCTACTCATAAATATTATCTAGATTAAGTGATTTCTATGAGGTTTCAGGTTGCTTATTTTTGTGTTTATCTTATGTACAAGAACAAATCTATAAATTCTAATATGAACCTTGAAATCTTACGATTTTAATCTATGGTTTTGATTTTAACTCAGTTTTCAACTTTACATAAAATCACGATTTTGACTATATTGGTTGGGAGAAGCGTAGAGAGCGATGAAAGAAGAGACGGTTGTCGACCCCGACATATATAGACATAGATACAGAGTTTCTCGTTGCCAAACTCAAGATCCAGCTCCTTCCCTTGATCCTTGCTTTTTTAGTCGACCTTTATAAGTGCTCTTCTAAGCTACTTTCGATGCGGACAAGGATGGCAATGGGTCGGGTCGGGGACGGATAGTGCATATCCGTTACCCTACCCAAAGTAGTTCGGGTTTTACCCAAGCCCATACCCACATAAGAAACGGGTAGAAAATCCAAACCATGCACATACCCGTTCGGGTTTCGGGTATCCACGGTTATCCATGGATAATAGTTTTTCTTTATAACTCCAACTAATATGTTAATATTTACACGTATTATCACGTTACATAAGACGAAAAGTACGACAATAATTCACTAGAATGAAGAAAATTAATTAAAACTACATAATTTCATAAACAAAATGATATTTATATGCTAAATATAAAGTATTTTAGAGAAAAATATTGATTATTTCTAGAAAAAATACATATGCATGTGTATAATCGGGCGGGTTCAGGTTGGATAGTGAGACAACCATGCCCACCTATTACTCGCAATATTCGGGTTCGGGTTTTACCCGTACCCACTAAAAGTTCTTTGGGTTCGGGTTTTACCCTACCCGATTAGGTCGGATTCGGGCGGATATCCACGGTTACGGATATTTTTGCCATCCCTAGATGCGGTTAGCGTCTCGATCAATACCCACAAACGGAGTGTTGACATCAATTCCAACATCTCTACTCTCATCGGATATCAAATTGAACGACCACTCCCACCGAAGTCAAGGCCACCCAGAGAACTAGTAATTTCGGCAAAATGACACATTCTATGTGGCTGTGGTTAAATCACTCGAACAAATTTCTAAACCCTAAATGAAGTGACGAATTATCTCACCGTTCATATTCTGATGGCCAGAAAACAAACAAAAAAACCCCTTTTATTTTTCACGAAACAATACGGAATGTAGTCGACAACCGATCATCAAATGCAAGAGGGAAAAAGCACAGGCCTAAAGCAAAACCATGCAACGCATGACTAAACTAATCGATGAACTCATGGTGTCGCATTCCAGGTCCAAGGCATGTAATAATAAATGAGTTCCAGCCACCCCTTTGCCGCTTCTCCATAGTCGTGCAAGCATTGTGCAACAAACTGCCGACTGAGAAGTGAGAACTGTGACATGTGCAAGAAAATCCAGCGCACACTGAAAAATGAAAAAGAGAAGTGGACAAATCCAGCTAACAAGCACACATACATGGGTTTTCCTTGTTTCCAGCTCGATCTAAAACTGAATAGAAAGTGTCAATGATGAAATAAACAAACAAACAGGCAGATCAGATCACTTCAGCAGGCCACTCAAACAAAACTGTTACCATCAAAAGGTAAAATGCTGCAGGCCGCTCTCTTTCTTTCACACATTAACACCCGCCAACATAAACTCTACTCCAAATGGACGATGGAGCAAGAATCCATGCAAGCATACATGTCACACATGGATGAATTTGACACTAAAACTCGCTCCTCAAATATCCAGGTGCAGCACAGACAAGAAGACCACTGAGAAACAGCTAACCAAGAAAGACGAGCTGCCAGTATGAGAACTAGCTTACTCCTTACAAGTACAGTTATTGAAGAGAAAAGGCAATCCACTCATTCCACTATGTTGGCCAGCAACATCTAGTTGTGCTTTTGACATCCATTTTCCTGTTTAATAATCGAACCGCCTTTTGAGCCCTACTTTCCTTTCCTCACATGGAATGAAAGCATTTCTTCCCCACCACATGGCCCTTATTATGGTTATGGGGGGGCCATATCAGAAACTGAGAAAACTTCTTTTGATAAGAGAAACTGAGAAACAAAACACAACAAAACAAAACAATGCATAGTTCAATTATGCAATAACTCCTCCTCAATGCCCCCATCTGCCTCAAATCCTTGCCTGTCCCTTCCATCCATCAAGTTTCAGTTGCAACATTCTACTCTGACAATACACCAACTTAGCTCACCTGCTACCACTACACTACGGCCACAAACTGAAATCGGCAGCAGGTGGCTAAATCCCATAAGCTCAACGAATGATTAATAGACAATCAGGCAATGCTAATTCTGCTGCACAAGCTTTAACCCTATCCTATCTTATTACAAATGGGCAATTGAGCACAATGGCAAAACATCATTTGGGTAAACCAGAGGGATAGGGAGAGCACAGTAGCAGTTCAATAGTTAGGACTTAGGACAAAGATAACCAGAAGCCAGTTTCCTTGAAGACCCTGAACTGATAACAAATCACCCCCTACCAGTGTATATACGTTCATCTCAAATAATTCAATCTAATCAAGAAAAGGGGGAATACAGAAACCTACTGTGGAATCAAGTTTCTCAGGCCTATCAATCAGATTTACAACAGTAAGTAAGTATAATGATTCAGAATCATGTAACACGCAAACTTGAAAAGACAAAAAAGCTTGGAGTTCCATAATCTAACCAGACCAAGGAGAAACCGCAGCCGAGGCAAGCACAAAATTGAGAGCACAACGCCACTGGAGTTGCCCACCATCACCATGGCTTGCTTCAAATGGGAGAGTAACCAGTTTTGGTAGGGCTCCCGCCGACGAATGAGAGCAGCCCACCCCCACCGGCGTCTACCTCGTCCACATACAAATCCTCCGTCCCTCTAAACGCGGCGTGCAACAGGACAACCGCGAGTCCAATCAACACGGAGACCAACACGTTCAACCACACCCCGGTAAAGATCAAGGCGACGACGGTGACGACGGCGAGCAGGCCGAGCACGATGCGATCGTCGACGGTGCGGCGGAGGAGCACCAGGGGCTCGTCGCGGAGGAAGAAGAGGAAGAGCCAGGCGACGAAGACGATTAGGAAGACGATCATGGAGAAAGGGTGCCAGAGGAGGCTGACGAAGAGGATGAAGAGGACAGCCATTGCGTAATTGACGCGGAAATAGGCGAGGTTGCGTTTGATTCGGACCATGGCTTCTCCGATGGAGAAAGGGCGGGCGAAAGAAGAGAGGCTGACGAGCTCGCGCCATGGACGGCGGGTGGCGTAGAGGGAGGTGGAGCTGGCGGCGGCGCGTGAGAGGAACGTGCTCGGTGTAGGGGTTATGAAGGAATCGTAGCCGTATGAGGTCGGCGGAGGTGGAGAGGAGGAATCGGAAGCCATGGATTGTCGTGGGGGAGTTTTAGAGCTGTCTGAAAATGGCAATCTTTCTTGGAAGTGCTTGGGGAAGTTCAAAGGAACTCTCAATTGAATTCCCCAAGGACAAAATCTTGTGAATAGTCAAAAGAGCTATTTCCAAAAGCCCGATATTTGTTGGCGGTAAGACCAGACAAACGACGCCGTTGCGAGATACTTAAGAAGGAAGTTGTATTTGTTTTTAGGTTTAATACACTTGTATATCCAAAACTTTTACGGTTGTGCCAATAATATCCAAATTTCTAGGGATGACAAAAATATCCGTAACCGTGGATATCCACTCGAATCCGACCTAATTGGGTAGAGTAAAACCCGAACCCGAATGACTTTTACTGGGTATGGGTAAAACCCGAACCCGAATATTGCGGGTAATGGATGGGCATGGTTTTCTCACTATCCAACCCGAACCCGCCCGATTATACACAAACATATGTATTTTGTTTAAAAATAATCAATATTTTTCTCTAACATATTTTTTGTTTAGCATATAAATATAATATTTTTTAGGAATTGTGTTGTCTTAATTAATTTTGTTCATTCTAGTGAACATTTGTCGTACTTTTCGTCTAACGTAACGTGAGAATACGTGTGAATATTATTATATTGGTTGAAGTTATAAAGAGAAACCATTACCCATGGTTAACCGTGGATACCCGAAACCCGAACGAGTATGGGCATGGTTTGAATTTTCTACCCGTTTCTTATGTGGGTATGGGTATGGGTAAAACCCGAACTACTTTGGGTAGGGTAACGGATATGCACTATCCGTCCCCGACCCGACCCATTGCCATCCCTACAAATTTCTCTGAATACCACTTATATCCATGATTTAAAGCTGTTCTTTGCCAAATCTATCTATTTTCCAATATATTTTTGGTTAAATACACTTGTATATCCAAAAACACCGTTAAAGAATGTGAAGGAATTGGATATAAGTGGTATTTCGGGAAATTTGGATATTATTGGCACAACCGTGAAAGTTTTGGATATACAAGTGTATTTAACCTTGTTTTTAAACAGAACCACGAGAATTAATGAGAGAGCTAGTGAAAAGTCATTCGTTAGTGGCAAGGTTGTCAATCCACGGGTCACTCATTTTGATCCTGGCTAGATAAGAAAAACGGGCTGCACGCACCCGTTGGGTCGATCGTTATAAGGTACCGGATTGGAGGTCAAATTGTATCATTTTTTCTTTGGTTTGCGAAATGTGCCTATTTTCCGATTTTTCTTTTCGTCTAACTCCATCTTTGGAATCCTAAGTTGAACATTTGAATATATATGTTATATAAGTGTGTGTGAATTTTCACTATATGTTGGATCTAAGTAGGACATGTTATTTTGGTGGAATATTATATGTTATAACTCATATGTTAGATGAGATTTGATATAATTTATCAGGATAAGTACAATATAATGGCTCTTTCAATATTTCCGGGTTAAAACGGGTGACCTATTAACCCTTGACCCACTAGCTCTACCTGGTCCGGGTCAACCCGCGAATTACATCGGCTAGTGGTAAATTGCGTGGGGACTAGGGCTGGGTCATGGGTTGAGATGAGATAAGGTGAATTAGGAGGTGTCTTAATTACCTGATTAACTCTAATTCAGCTTTTCATTTAACTTTTTATTCAACTTACCTAATTTTAGGAAGGATAAAGTGGTAATTACATTATTTATTTATTTAGCAATTATATTAAAAAATAAAATAAGTCACTAGATAATATCCCTCCGATAGTGTTCTTTTCCAGTTGTCTCAGCGCGTCTCCTCTCATTTGTCGCCGTTACCGGTCCTTTTCTAGGCAAAAATTCTCATGTGCTTTCCGGCTGCGTTATTTTCCACTGAGAATTTTCCCAACTGCAGAGAGATGTCGCCATTCTCGATCTTTTCCTGGGAAAAATTCTCAAGTGCTTTTGAGCTGTGTTATTTTGCATTGAGAATTTTCCCAAGTGCAGAGAGAGAGGTCACCGTTCTTGGTGCTTCTCTGGGAAAAATTCTCAAGTGCTTTCCGGGTGCGTTATTTCCCACAAGGAATTTTCCCAAGTATAGAGAGACGCAAACAGAGGAGGATTTGTCGGCGGTAGCAATTTTGTAGTGTTTGTCGGTCTATTCTGATGTTTGTAATTCAATCTATAACGTTTTTTTGTTTGTAAAAAGATGCACCACATCTTAACTTTCATTCAACACCATACGGGGTTCGGAAAGTCCCTGACAGACATACAAAAGGAAATGATACAAATGGGGGTCATAAGGCGAAATACCATGCACCCCCACAGACAGGGAATGGCCACAACCAGCTAAGTAATCTCCACAATGGTTGAATGACGGTGAGTAGAGCTCTCAGCACCCATCACCATCTTAACCATGCATCTAGAGTCAAGCTTCACTCGTATGTGCCGGGAGCCGAGGTCTCAAGCCACTTGAACACCTTCAACGACTCCTCTCAACTCTGCCTGAGTTATGGAGCAGTATCCCAGGTTACAAGCGAACGCTGCAATGCAACGTCCTGTATGATCTCAAAGTAAGCCGCCAGTTGCAGCTTGACCAGTGTTAAGGAGTACACAACCGTCTGAGTTGATAGTGACCCACTCGAGAGGCGGCGGTTCCCAAGAGATCTCAACCTCTGTTCTTGTGGGCAGGAAAGGCTGATGAATGAGCCTATCCTTCTCCAGAGCCATCTGCTATATTAATCTAGGCTCCGAGAAGCTGAATGAAGGTGTCGGTTGTGACTGTCTTATTGCTAAAGACTCTATCATTTCTGGTCTTCCAAAGATACCAACATGTAAGGCCAAAACTCAATCCGTAGTCCGGGTATCGCAATAACCATTCCTCTAGGGACAGACCGAAATTTTTTTGGTGATCACAAAGCTTTATGGGTGCATCAATATTAAAGTAGGAAAAGAGCAGTCCCGCAACACATGCAGGACTGTCTCAGCAGCCATGTTGCACAAGGCACAACCGTTGGTGGTGGAAATGTGTCTCCGGCAACGTTCATCATTGTTCACCAACCTCTCCCTTGGCGCAAACCATAAGAAGTGCGTAGTCCTGGACGCTCCCCTCCAGCTCCAGATCTTCCTCCAATCCACCTCAGAGAGCTCCTTTTCTCGGTTGCAAGTGATGGTGTAGGCTAATTTAACCTTGAACTTTCTGTTTAGTTGTGATCCCCAAAAAGCCTCTTCCTCACCTGCGTCTTCTCTCGGGGGTTGGCTAACTAGGACCTGCATGGCAACCTCTCTTGTTAAGAACATGTCAATAAACGATTCATTTCACGCACCTTGTTCTCCAACGAACACCGCAACGAGAAGGGAGGGTCCAATGGCCGACGCCTCCTCGCGAACATGATCAATAAGAGGGTGTGCTGGTCAATCCATCGACCAGTCCAGAATGTCGTGCCCTGCCCATCTTTCACACACGTGTTTGTTCCCCACCATCATGGGTCTTACTTTCTTGATGCAACGCCAGATAGTAGAGCATCGCCTTGCCAACTTCCCAGTCAAGACACCATATGTTGTCTTGAAATATTTTGCCTGTAACACCTTAACCCACAACTCATCCTCATTCTTTACAAAAAGCTAAGCAAGTTTAGAGAGGAAGGCAATATTTAATTCATGAGTTTTTTTTTACTCAAACCACCCTTTGCTTTTGGTTGACAGAAAACCTCCTAGTGAACCAGATGCATCTTTAGCTTATCCTCATTGCAGCCCCAAATGATCCGTCGGATTCGCTTGTCAATCTCATCACAGATAGACTATGGAAACAACGTGGACTGCATGGCATACGTCGGAAGAGTATTAAGAATCGAAGTAGCCAGTGTCACACGTCCCACAAATGACAAGCTTCGCTGCCAGCTTTTTATCCAATCTCTCCAGGATGTATCTATATGTTTCCTTCGTTACTCGGCCATGAAGTATGGGCACACCAAGATAGAGTCCCAGATCCTGGGTAGCAGGGATGCCAAGAGTTCTGATAATGTCGCCCGATAACACTGTATTTGGACATGTTTTTCTCGTCATTTCTTGATTGATTAAGCTTGCATTTTCGCTCTCGTGACCTATTTTACGCTAGGTTGTGTTGGTTTATTATGTTCAGGTCATGGTACGTAAATGGGTGCGAAAGAGCGAGTTTTGGGACGTTTTCAACCGATCGGACAGAGAGCAGGAAAAAGTTACGACCAGACCTTAAAAAGTTACAATCAAGCTTTTTACAAGGAGAATACATATAGCTAACCCTAATGCAACAATCAGTCTAGGGTTAACTCTAGGAACTCAAAAGGCAATGCACCTAACTAAGGCAAAATGCTAATCCGATCCCTACGACACGTATCCTTTAGGATCGGTGGATTCTCACCATCCATCTTGTTGCTGCAGCTGGATACTACTCTCTTGGTGTGTGTTTTTTTTTTTTACTTTTCAGTGCATGCCTCTGTTCTCAATAATTTACCCTTCACATGCAATTAATTTTGTATCCGATGGCTACCGTCCTTGCTATTGTGTCAATGTTGAATGTGGTGAAAGGAAGATTAGGGGTTTTGACGGTGGTGGATTTGGGGAAAGAGACTAACAGAGAGTAACCAAACATGACATGTACTAAAGTAAGTGCCCATTATTAATATTAATTTTTTTCCGTGACTAAACATGAAATGTTTTATTAAACCCAGTGTCTAAACTTGAAATTTAACCATCGTTTATTATTTTGAGAACTTAAGCATTTTTACCTATTTTGATCGTAAAGTTACGATCATATTAAGGTATTTTCGAAAGAATGTGTTACATACTTTGAAATTCAAATCCAACGGCTAATCATATGTTAGAACTTAGAAGGGATAGACCACCCAGAGTGTTACACAACTCATACCACCTTCCCATTCATTGCCCCATATCGACATCTTAAAACTACTACTTACAAAATTCCACCCTTGAGAAAACTACGTTCTGAAGACGTAACAGGTAGCTGAGAGCCTGAGAGTGCTGGAACTTTTCACCTAATTTACAATCGCCCTGAATACGACCGCTGAGATTAGGATGGTACACAAAAAGCCTAGAAGCAAACACAGCGTTACAGAACAACACAATTTCAGCCGCGGCCCGCAGAAGGAATACGAGCACAAAACGTGAAACCAATCGCACAACTGACAACTGGCTAATCATGTCTGATCAAAACACTCTGTATCCATTCCCTGCAGCAGCAGCTGCTGCTGCTGCTGCTGATGCCAAAGCTTCCCTGATGATTGCAAAGCCAACCACCAAATAAAGATCAAATAAGAATTGCCTTCAAGACCTTCGCTTTAAAGGCGAAGTATAAACCGCACAGCATTCAATTACCTTAGGGCATCTTGAAGGTCCCTATTGCTCGAGTCCAACCGCAGCCCAAAAGCAAATGACTTGGCAGCTTTCCGAAACTCCTGCATGAATTCAATCACCAATTACAGGAAGGCTGACAAAATTTGTTACGAAGGAGTGAAGGAAAAAGAACAGATAGAATAGAAGGATAAACTGGAAATGAACTCACTTTGAGCAAGTTCCAGGCAATGCCTTCCCTGTAGTATGCCTTGGGCCAGTCAGGCCTCAGCATCATACAGGCATGCGCATCACTTAAAGCTTCCTCGCCCTCCTTTAACCGCGCCCAGCATAGGCTTCGATTCGATAACATTGCAGCGGCATCAGGAGGAAATGCTTCACTGGCCTGCATTATTAGTATTTGACAAAACAAAGCAATGATAAGCTTCTTGGATGCTTAACAAACCACACGAGTGCCGCTATATTTGCATACCAACCTGAGTGTACCAAAAGACGGCATCAGAATAATCATTCCGGGTGACTGCCTCTTTCCCTCTTGATTTAAACAGCAAATACCTTTCCAAACATATGATGTCTCTCTGCAATCCGTAAAGTGAGTCATGTCAAAAGAAAAGGGTACTTGCTCAGAGTGGCAACGATGACAACAACAACAACCGGTATTACCTTGCTTGCTTGCTCGTCAGAATCTACATACTGCTTTATCCCATCATATGTCCAATTCAGCACATCCGGATTAGGTGAGCTTACAGGGAACAGAACCTCAGCAGCTTTGGGGCGATTTTTGAATGCAGCTATTTCAATTGGTTTCATACCAAACTGTTCAGAAGGAGAAAAGTAAAGAAAAAAACATTTTCAGATTGGTTGAAATTCCTATTCACTTATTCTCCAATCGCCATGTGCAAGCAACAAAATACGGAAATAAGGAGTGGAGAAGGAACTTACTGCATTAGTCGCATTTGGATCCGCTCCTGCTCTTAACAACTGTTTGATGATCTCGGTGTTCCCCTGCATGACAGCCGCATCCAATGGAGACATTCGGAGCAAGCTTAAGCTCGGAATTAAGTTTGGGTCAGCTCCAGCCTAACAGAACATAAAGACCAGTTATGACTCAAGAGCACCAGACACTAAAATGATAGATCAAAACAAAGCAGATAATAGATTTCTAAAGTAACGAGGGAAAAACTATGTATGATGGTTCAAAAACAGAACACAAATTCTGACTTCAGGCCACAGTACAAAACTGTACCTTCAACAGTAGCTTCACACACTCGCTACACCGCCCTATAATTGATGATACTAATGGAGAATATGCTTGAAAAACAGCAATATTCGGCTGCACCAAGAAATATAATCACAGTCGAGCAGGAAGGATCAGTGAAATTGAAATTCTGGCCTCTTCATCTTTTTCACTTGCTAAATTACACGAGCCATAGACAAAGAAGCATAACCTAAACGTGGTCAGGCCAATAGACAAACATGGGCCACAAAAAGAAACATGGACTAATGATGCTTACATCAGCATTGTAATGCAACAAAGTTTTAACGATGCCTTCATTTCCGGCTCCAAAATGCAACGGGGTGCCAAAACTGGATTTTGCATTCACTTCAGCACCTTTCGACATCAGAAGTAGCACCGATCTTTTGGATCCTGCAAGATTAAACAATCAACAAATCTCTTTCAGAGAAGACGACGACAATGGCATCATGTCACCACTCGAAAAACCTCATTTCACACAGAACACCCATGCTTTCCGACCAAGGAAACTACACCTCAAACCATAGCTAGTTGATAGTGCAGGCCAACATCACTTCCATTGGGCAAGAAAGATATTAACCGAAGAAACCATCGTAAAGACGTGGAAAATCACAACTCGATTAGGCAAGGCATGGTATCATTGGTACTGCCAAGGAAGCCCGCTTCAATTTCAGTACAAGGCATATTAAGATTTATGGAAAGTAAAATCAAGAGCATGGTATATTCTAGAATAGTAATTCTTGGTAAAAACCAATTGATGAGGCACCTATTCCCGCAGCGTAATGCAATGGTGTGAACCCTTGATCATCAGTAGCCGCATTAGGATCAGCGTTGTTGTCCAAGAGGTACTCGGCGGTGCAGTTGTGATGGCCTAAAATTGCTTGATGCAAAGGAGTCTCCCCTGTGAATTACAAGACAGTACCCTTACTGTTAATCAAAAGACGATGACTCTATAGGCAACTAGTAGTCCAGAAAAGTAATGGACACCGTTCCTATCACAATTCACTCGAAAAAGTTGATGCGATGAGTAGAGTGATACCTACCAAAGGCATCTCGGATATCAACAGGGAGTCTGAGTTCGTCGAGGAAATATTTGCAGAGAAGAGTCTTCCCTCCAACAGCGGCATAATGGAAAGCAGTTCGACCTTGGTCGTCTTTAACGCTCTCTACGGGCTCCCCCAGAGCACTCGCCAACCCTGCAATGGCAGATCAATCGAACTGAGCCTGCCGGGGGGGGGGGGGGGGGGGGGGGGGGGGGGGAACCACCGTACTACTACAAGATTGCTACTTACCCCTGACGAGTTGAAGGTCTCCGGAGTAAGCCGCGGAAAGGAAGTGTGCAGCTCCTGGATCGCCTGGTCAGATAGATAACCCGTCATTAGTTTGAAACTGTAATTTGTCAGGAACTGGAATCCTGCCGTGCCGGCGAAAGAGACAAAGAGACGGAGCGACCTGAGAAGTTGGAGATGAGAGGGCGAAGAAGTTTGAAGCCTCTGGAAGGGAAAATATCGCCGTCAGGGGAGATGGGAGAGGAGCGGAAGGCCATCGCCCGATTTCGATCAGTTGAAGGGTTGTGAAGGTGCGGGAAGTGGAGGGAGAGAGAGGCTGAGCAAAGGAAAAGAGTGATATAGGAAAGGGGCGGCAGAATAGGGACAAGAGAGGAAATCGTGGTGGGGTTGAGGAGGAGGTATGGGACTTAATTCCCGCCTTCTGTATTGACGTCAGCGGGTGATGGGGGTTGGGGCTTGTGCTCTCTCAACTCTCCTCGACAGGACGTACGGCCAGGGGAGGGAGACCCTTTACTTCTGCACGGCAGGACACTTCTCTTTAAATCATGGTCCATGAAACCGTACCGGACATCGTACCGGGAAAGTCAGCGGTAGGGTATTTTATGGTAAAACCGTGGTTTAACCGTAGTTCAACCGTTATGCCGGTAAATACCGCCTACCGGTTTAGCCTCCGAAACTGGTATTTCGTGGTTGAACCGCCGGTACGGTACAGTTTCATGGACACTGCTTTAAATACGATAAATTGTGTTCTTCAAAGTAATATTCACTTCAAGAATTCATCCTAAAAACTTTATCCAGAATGGGGTTCTCGACAAAATTGGTGGAGTGGGTTCGTAAATGAATATCCAGTTATCCACAACGCATCACTCAGTTATTGTTAATGGGGAATTTTCTGGTTATTCTTGGAGTAGTCGCGGCCTTCGTCAAGGGGATCCCCTTTCCCCGTTTCTTTTCATCATCGCAGTGGAGCTGCTCTCTATGCTTTTACAAACATCACTGGAGAAGGGTTTAGTGAGAGGTTTCTACATGAATGAGGAAGAAAGCTTAGGGGAGGTGACCCACCAATGTTATGCGGACAATAATATGCTTTTCTGTGAAGCATCCAACGAACAAGTCAGCGATCTCTTAACTGGATTTAAAGTTAATACTCACAAAGTATGATGTATGTCGTCGGTGACGTTGATAATCCTGAACAGTATGCAAGGATGTTTGGGTGTGGGGTAGGGAACTTTCCCTCTAACTATTTGGGTCGGGTATATATGGATTGCGTAAACTAAAACTTGTACCCAACCTTAAAGAGACAGTTTCCGTAAAAGAAAATCATCACCCAACCTTAAACATTAATTGTAGCGATAAATACAAGTGGTTGGTTCAGGGGCGTGTTTATTTTAGTTCACCCCTATTGGCAGATGGTAGTGGATCGCCTTAATTCAGAGGAGACAAGGCAACAAAAAAGAGAAAGTAGAAGTAAACTTAATAACTATGGTTGAATGTTCTCAATTCACATTATAATATCCTTTGTTTTCAAAAATTTTGTGGTTAAGAGGATGAACCGTAAGACCACTCAAATTGAGGTGGTTCATCAAATTCCATGTACAACCGTGAAAACTATTCGGTTTACCTCTGATTGTGCGCTCAAGTACATCGAATAAATAATATAAATATTTTGACGTCAGCTGAATAATTATAACATAGATCAGATTTTGATTTGTACGGTTCAGGCTTCCGCTAAGTAAAGAGTCTTCAACATAACTGCTCCACCACGTTCAGAGCAACTAACCGTTGTTAGCTCCTAGACTGTAGTAGACTAGTAGGGATTTCACCACGTTCACTTTACAGCGTTACAGCAGCGTCCCGCATATACATACATACCACTGCCATTAGTCTGGGACGCAGGCACACCAAAATACAGGTAAAACGGTACCTGAGCGCTGACTCGCACCAGTTTAGCAGTTAGAGAAACGGGATCATGAACGCAAAAGCTGGAACCAATTCCAGACTACTCCTTCCAGTTCTAGTTCCAAGTCAGAAAGCAGGCTGATCCAAGATCAAAATAGTCTACGAGTGTTCGTTCGAGCTCCTGCTGCTGCTAAAGCTTCCCTGATAGTTCAGAAAAGGAAAAAATGAATGGACCAAAAAAAAAAAAAAAGCTAAATGAAAACAAGAACAAAACTGAAACAGATAGCTGAAAACAACCAGTTTTGTATTACCTGAAAGCGCCGCAAAGCTCTTTGTTCTCAGGGTCTAACTGAAGTCCAGCAGCAAACATATCAGCTGCTTTCTGAAAATCCTGCATTCATCGCATCGTAGTTTCAAGGGCTAGTCGTCTATGTCAAGTGAGGGGATACAAAAGCTAAAGAAAAAAAATGAAAACCTACTTTGAGCAAGTTCCAGGCTATGCCAGCCCTGTAGTATGCCTTAGACCAGTTGGGACTCAGTTTCAAGCATTCCCGTGCATCATTTAGAGCTTCCTCACCTACCTTCAAACGTGCCCAACATAGGCTACGATTCGACAACACAGCTGCATCAGTAGGTGCCATATCGTTGGCCTGCAATTTCATTACCAAGACGGCAGAAGCTGTTCATTTCACTAAGATGGGCCCAAACGAAGAAGGGAGCAAGTTAAAAATGTTTTATACACCCAACTTACCATACTGTACCAAACCATGGCTTCAGCATAATCCTTACGGTTGACTGCGTCTTTCCCCTTTGATTTGAACATTAGAAAACGTTCCTGATTTATCATATCTCTCTGTGAGCAATGAAGAACAGTCATAAGGTGGGTAAGTGTACTATACCCATGGAAATAGTAAGTTGAGAGGAAAAATGAGAAAGCACCAGTACTACCTCTATGATATGACCTACAGAATTCACGTACTCTTTTATCCCATCAAAGCTCCAATTGCGCACCTTGGGATTAGGTGAGGTGAGTGGGAACAGTACCTCAGCAGCCTCGGAGCAATTTTTAAGTATAGCAGCTATCTCAATTGGTATCAATCCATACTGCTCAGACAACAAATATGGGTGATAATTTTTCTCCAACAGAGATTAATCAATCAGTCAGATGGTGCTTAACTTCCTTGAAATGCCTGATTACTTATACTCCATCTGCAATAAAACAAACTTGACAATATGGAATGAAACAGAACCATACCACATCAGTCTTGTTAGGATCTGCTCCTGCTTGTAACAACAGCTTGATGATCTCTGTGGTACCCTCCATGACAGCAGAACCCAGAGGAGTCATTCCAAGCTTGGTTAGGCTTGGAGTTAAGTTTGGATCTGCTCCACCCTTAGAGAATATAAAGGCAGTGTTATAATTTATGACTATGGAGCAAGACAGCCATCACATAGTTGATTTCCCTAGAAAATACATGAAACAGAAAGCACAGAACTCTGATGACTAAGTAACTAAAGCAAAGCTCGGGATCGATCCAAGTGGCCAGAATACACCTTCAGTAGTAGCTTCACACAGTCGAAAGACTGCAGGGAAATCGCCATCATCAGTGGAGAAAATGCATCAAAGACAACCATATTAGGCTGCACCAAAATTAGAAACACAAGAGCAGTCAATTGACTGACCAGTTAAATGCCCAAAACATCTTTTGTAAGCTCCTGAATCTGATGATAAGACACCAAAATATACGTTTAAGCGACTATGTAGATGCAACGAATAAAGAACCCGATACAAAGAAAGGATAGGCATGATGCATACATTGGCTTTGTGATTTAATAATGTTGAAACCATTGCTTTATCTTGAGCTGCAAAATGCAATGGGGCGCCCATAAAAGATTTTGCATCAACATGAGCACCTTTTGACAACAGAAGGAGCGCCAGTTTCTTGAATCCTGAGGCAATTTAGCTAAACAATCAAACATCGAACCCTACCAAAAGCATAAACTTTTGGCAAACACAACGAATTTCGTGCCACGACAAAAACATGCTCATTTTGCAGTACACTAATGATTATGAACCGGACACCCACATCCTAGATTCATAACAAGGTACCAAAGACACTGGAGTGAGGAGGAAGCAAAAATGAAACAGACAATCTTATCTAAAACAGACCTCTTGAAGCAGCATAATGCAACGGCCTAAAGTCCCCGTGATCAGCAGCTGCGGCATTTGGATCAGCATTATTGTCAAGAAGGTACACTACGGTAGAGTAGTTATCACCTAAAATTGCATGGTGTAAGGGGGTCTCGCCTGTGAAAATCACGCGACAATTCCAACAGTTAAAGGTCTAACAGTGCTCCATGACAATTAGTAACACACTTCCGCCAAGGAAAAAAGAGCAACGAATCATCTTTTTGGTCATACAACAAAACCTTACTACCAATAATAGTATAACATTTATACTAGATGATTAACTGAGACGCGTTTGACAAGCATGTAATCAGCAACACTTATTTCCAGAATACATGCTTCCCGACATGCAAAAGTGATTCTAGTTGCTTGCCACTGTGGCTCCTGGTTGGTAGATTAATTTGGTATGAATATCAATAATCTTACAGTAGAACTAGCATGCAATAGTTCATCCAACTATTACGTATGATCCAATATCACATTATGAGTATTTGAAGTTCATGTAATTCGCCAAGAGGCCAGATTCGAGGGAACCAATCACAGGACCACAACAGCAATCATGCTTAGCGGTTTGAATGGAAAGCGGATGAGAAAGGGAAATCCGAAATCATACCTGATCCATCCCTGATGTCAACAGCGACTTTCAATTTGTCAAGGAAAAACCTGCAGACATGGGTCTTACCCCCAACTGCAGCGTAATGGAATGCGGTCCGGCCATTATCGTCCCGAACGGATTCTACTGGCTTTTCAAGCGCACGAGCCAGCCCTGAAACAGAGCGAAATTAGCCAACAACCAGTAGCTAGCTAGGACGAAAAGGGGGAAACGTATATACACACAGACAGAGAAGGGAGAGGCAGATTACTCCTGATAAGCGGAAGGTCTCCTGAGAAAGCTGCGTTAAGAAACTCGTCTGCCCCTGGATCATCTGCTCAAGAAAACAAAAACAAGTGAAAAAACCTAAACGATAATTCAACCTGGTGGAGCTGTGATTCGCCGGGGAAGGCGACGAAATCGGATACGGAACTGGAGAACCGAAAAACGGAAGCAAAGTCCGCCGAGAAAGAAGCGAGCAAGAGAAAGAACAAAAAGAAGGTTTCGGTGATGCGTTTAATTTCCTTCCGCATTACTCTTCCGTTACTCGATCGCTCCGGTCGGCAAAGGAAATGAAACGGAGTGGGAGAGGGAGAGAGAGAGAGAGAGAGAGAGAGAGCGAGACCAGAGAAGTTCTCCGGTTGAGGGCGAAATGGCTGGAAACTTCTGGAGTATGAAAGCATGACTGACGGGCGGCAGAAGTTGGACGTGGTCAGTGACCGGTGAGTAACGGGAGGGAGAGAGGAGACGGGAAGACTGCGAGCGAGCAAACAGCAACTGAGAATAGAAGCAGGCAGCAGCCTTTTAGGGCTATAGAGTGGTGTATGTAACTTACCTGGTACGGCTCCCGTCTCAGTCTAAAAAGTTAAGACCCACTGGGTGGCTTTTAGGGTGGCTGTGATTTAATTTGGTAGGGACGCAGGGTCACGTCCGTCATTCCGCCCTCGTCTTGGCAACGTCAGTTGACAATAGTTTGATTTAGGGGTGAGGGTGAAGGTTGCCTGTCTCAAACCTATTGGTAGAATAGGGGTGGAAATAGGTACAATATCGGTATCTCAGTATCAAATATCGAAATTTTGAATATCGAAGTATACATTAAAATTAATCACAATCTCAATCACTAAATGATTTCGGTATCTCAATCTCAATTCCTAAATATTTTGATATCTCAATCGTTACTTCTGTATCTCAATCGATATTATCGAATACGAAATTAATTACCTTGGCAATTAATAATTAAATATATAGACGAGAGTTGATTGTTTATTTAGTTTATTTTTTTGACAAAAGATAATCATATATTGATTGAAAAAATAGATCATTACATCGTGGTCCTTGGCCAAGACACAAAAGCAGACGAACGACATGTTATTGGGTAAAAAGAAAGGGCTTTACGAGCCACCAAGTGGGTTATCCTGTTATTACGTCAAGCTACGAATCGAACACCGAGTCCCACATGCTCAACCAAATAACTCAACACTTCTTGGAAAATGGTCCCCGCTCGACTATCACGATCAAGACTGAGTTTATCGATAACTAACTTAGCATCCCCTTCAAATCTCACCACCGAAAAACTCCTATGGAGGCACCACAGAATCGCTTCACGGAGGACTAGAGCTCCGCAAGCATAGGATCATCTATCCCAGGGAACTGAACGCCCAAACAACCTCCGCACCTTGGTCAAGGAGGATCACCCCCCCCCCCCCCCCCGGCGCCGAGTGCGACCAAGTCTGGTCGGCATATCCCACATACAGAATAAAGACCCAAGTCTTGTACGCCACCATCGCTAAAGACAGTGGGGCGTACCACTGATTCTTTAGGGATGTTAGTCCATTCATACAACTGCTGAAGGTAGTGCCTCATCAGAGCTGGGATCCCAAACTGTTTGCCATCAAAGACAACCAGTTCCGAGATTTCCAAATCCGCCAAAGCACGACAACGAATGCCATAACTTGATGGGGGCTCCGGATGATAGCCAGTAGGTTTTGATAAAAAGCGTAGGGTATGACGGGGAAAGCCTTGATCAAGGTGCTCCAAACCAGCATGGTCTCGTAATCCTCTAGCCATAGGGCATTCTAGAAAGAGATGCTCCAAAATTTCAGACGCAGCCCAACAAACCGGCCATCTGGGTTGCACCATGACACCTTTCTCGATAAGGGCTTCCATTGTTGGTAAGAATCGGTGGAAGACTTGCCATAAAAAGACTTTCAATTTAGGAGGAATGGGGGAATCCCACAATCGGATCCACCTTTGTCGATCGATCCAGCTAACTGTCGATATCCATCGACCCTGTCGCTGGTCAACCAACACTGTCAAGTGATACGTGATTTCACATTGAAGATCTCATCACACGTGTCGTGCCATAATAGCTTATCCTCCATATCTTGGCAAGGTAGCGGGATGACTTTAATCGCACCACAAGTATTTGGATGGAACCATTGGACTAACTTTGCGTCAGACCAGCGACCCTCACCAGGACATGAAAAATCCACCACCCTAACATCACCCCCTTTTGGCAACACCCGAGGGTTATAACACGGGGTAGCCGGGTGCAAGGCAGGAATCCACTTATCATGTAACCCAGACAGAGTCCGACCATTCCTGATTTGCCTGCGCATGCCCTGCTCCAAGAGTTGACACCCGTAAGGGATACTTTGTCAACCCCAAGAAGGGTGGGAGCGCGCCGTAGTCGTGAGAAAAGTGTCAATTGAGAAATATTTTACTTTATACACCTGAGCGAGGAGAGACTGGGGTTCATTGAGTAGCCGCCACCCAATCTTGGCTAATAACGCCTGATTGAAGTGTTCAAACCTACGGAAGCCCATTCGTCCTTCATGTTTACTACGACACATCCTATGCCAAGACATCCACCTTATATGGGACTGACCATCCTCCACTCACCACAAAAAAATGTGCCACAATTCTATACAAAATTCTGCAAATAGTGAGAGGGAGTTTAAAGCAGGACATAACGTGCAATGGTAAAGCTGAGACCACTGATTTAATCAATGTTTCCTTAGCCTCCCAATATAATGTTTTCCAAGCCCATCCTTGGAGTCGTGCCAACAACCGCTCATCGACGATTTTGTATCCATCTTAGACTGTGCTATAAGGTTGAGAAACCCCAGATATTTGTCCTGCACTCCTACATCTCCCACCCCCAAAACTTGAGCCAGGAACTCCTAATCAGGTATCGAGATGTTCTTACTGAAACAGACCGCTGATTTTGCCAAGTTGACTCGTTGCCCACTGAGTTCCTAATACTCGTTAAGCACCGCAATTAGATTAATTTGGGGCAAAGAGACTGAACTAAGAGTCTTGAGTTTGATGCAATATTTCAAATCGTGCTTCTCCTCCTCCACCACCCTAGTCCCAAATCCCGAATTCTAATTGTCCTAGTATCCCTATATCAACAAGATCCACTAAGATGAAGTGTCGCCTCCTACAGGAGTTGTCAGTCTTCCATCGTAGTGTATGCAACATTTGGCTATCATTTATATGCCGCCAAGAACAATTTCTCCATTGCAGCGTTCACTTCTGATCTACTCCTGGCATAGAGCTTGTTTTCTCCGATGACGCACGATGTGCTTTCACTGACACAAGATTTTGAGTCGTGCTTCTCCTCTTCCTTAACCTCAAACGAAGTGGTTAACGTGGTAACCATTTTAACCACTAGTATTTGGATAATTGGTTTAATTTGGTTAAACATTTTAGCTTGTTTGGTTTAGGTGGTTTGGTTCGGTTCCAGACACTTATAACCAATCAAACCAAATTAACCAGTTAAATAATTAGCCATATATTTAATATATATTATATAAACATACTTAATACTTTGCATAATCACTTAAGAGTCAAATGTAAGATAATTGTATTTGTGTCATGTATTTATGTTAACTATAATTATGTGTTGATTGATATGTGTTATTGATTATATAAATTGCAAATTGATGCACTAACAAGAAGATTGTCTCTTGTAATGATAATGTTAGGTTAAATTGGTTATTTTGGTTAACTAATTAACCAAACCAATTAAACTTTAGTTTGATTAATTTGGTTGTTGTATTAGTTTGGACGGTTTGGTTATGATATTGTATTTCATGATAATAGAATTTAGCCTTATTTGGTTTGGTAATTACCATGATAATCATTTGAACACCACTACATAGTGTAGACTAGTAAAAAATGCCTAAATATTTTTTGTTCAAAAAATATATAAAATTGATATTATTCTCAAGAGCACAATTAATCTAATTTAACTGTGATTTTTAAAATAAGAGAGAAATTATCGGTTAAACATAAAGAATAAAGAGGAAAAAATTAAATGAAGAGAACGGGTGTGCAGCTGATGGTTGTTGGGTTATGTTATTGACCGGATACGGTACCCTGTAACTCTGTTCCTGGCTATCAGATTCCCTTGCATCCCGTCTGCGATTCTCGGCACCTCCTGCTCTTTGATCTTTTGTCCTCTCATCTCCAACTACTATCCAAATCTCTTGCCTATCATCTTGGATTGGCTAGTCACAGAAAGGAAAGGCAACAAACTAGGCTGCCGCAGTGCCGATCGGTTGCCGAGCTAAAAGGTATCCGTTGAAATTCTAGGGTTCGGAGAGCTTCGGTTGAATCCCGCCGGCTTCTCCTGAGGTACGTTTCACGCTCCTTGAGAATTCCCCTTCAACGTTGGGGTTTATGGCAGGGGAGTCGCAATCGACAATCCTTCAGTTTCTACCAGGAATGACTGCAAGTAGGGGTTGGGAGGGGTTAGGGGACGGACTTCGTTACTCTGTCTGTATCCCAAATTTCGTTTTTGTATGAAACTGATGCCGTTTATCTGCCAGGAAACACCGAGACGGAGCAAAGTTTCCCCCCTTTCTCTCAGTTCCTTGCGACTCCTTGCAATGGTTTACATTACCTCTTGGGACGAGTTTGTTGAGCGATCAGTGCAGTTGTTCCGTGCTGATCCCAATTCGGTGTGTTTCTTGCTCTTTCATTCTCTCGTTTGTTGTGTTTTCGGCAAGGTTGTAGGAAGACATGAACTGTAAATTTGCTTGGGAGAGGATAATTGAGCTGGTGATCATCTTTTACATGGATTAAGTTCCTGCCGTTATAGTTGGTTCCTCTGGCCAGAGAATTGAAAATACTGTCCGAAGGGAAACCATGCTCTCTGTAATGGGTTACTAACTTGTCTTGCTTTCGTTTGTTACATGTCATTGAAAATTGTGGGACATAGACTCGGTATGCTATGAAGTACAGACACAGTGAAGGCAAGTTGGTTCTCAAGGTTACGGACAACATACAGGTATTTACTATGGCTTAAATGATGGATTCCCTTGTTCTAACTTATTGTCATGATGAACAACTACATGGTTAACTCATGGTTGGGATTTCAGTCTCGTCAGTTGTTCTTTAAAGCTCTTTTCTGGTAGGGTGAAAGATGTGGATCCTTTGATGGTTACCTGACCTTTACCTGTGCTTGCCTTATGATTCCCTTAATAGGTGCCTGGCCTTTCTCAGTGTTTTATTTTTGGTGATTCTGATGTCCTAGTTGCAAGTAAACAATGATCTTAACGATTAAAAGAAAATCTTATTAAGTTTCTGTTTTTGGGGCCTTGCTTTTATAGTTCATTTTCTTTGGTTTTGTTTTCAGTCTCTCGTATGAATTGGTTTGAGTTTGCCGTGGGAGTTGGCTTCCTACATATTTTTTTCTTTGATTATTGAGGCTCCTCTTAAATTAATGGTGGCCTTTTGCTGACTCATAAACAACCCTTTGGCATAGAATTGCCCGCGATGTGGATCACATAAATAGATTCATCGACCTTTGATCTATTCATTTGAAGGGATATATAACTATTGAAACTGTAAAACTATTCAGCCACCAGTGGCTAATGCAACATATGCATTAATCCAAATGCTATAGAAACTGTAAAACTATTTCTTATGTTTGCTTATTCTTGGATCTGCTAATGGGTATCTATCATGCTCTGTGTTATTTCTTGTATGGTAAATTCATGAATAATCTATCGTTCTGTTCAACAGGCAAGCACTTTCCAAATTACTGTCAAACTAGCAGTTCCCAATTATGTGTCCAAACACAGCTTAGAGCAATCTTGTTTTTCTTTCTTGAGCATACATGATTATGTTCTATTTCTATGTTCCCACATGATGATTTCTCTAACTGGATGCACATAAATTGTCACAATATTAAGACTATAAGAGAAAACATTACGTTACTTCAGGCGAGCTATACCTGCTGATTCAACAATTAATTAGATGAGTATTCTGTTAAGTTTCTGCTGGTGATGCTTTCCTTAATTTAGGATTTGGGTGCCTTCATTGTAATTGCACCCCAACTCTAAAAGTAGTCTTAAGACATCAAATTATGAATTTTAATTGATAGCATTAGCCCTCATTTAGTATCATCTTGTTGTTGTGGTTGCATTGGTGTTGTGCAAACAGATGTACGACCACAACAGGGGGGAAAAAACAGACAACAAAAACCTGTTTAGTTGGTAAATTTGAGAAATCATAGAAGCTGTCCCGTTACTGCCTTTGTCCGTACGTGAGTTGGTTTGATTGGTGTTATCTATTGTCTTAACTCTAAAAGCGAACAGATTGTCCCCCCTCTCTTACTCACCGTTGTTTCTGCATTTTGCTAGTGTCTCAAGTTCAAGACGGATCAGACACAGGATGCTAAGAAAATGGAGAAGCTGAACAACATATTCTTCACCCTGATGGCTCGGGGCCCTGATGGTATAGTATAACTTTATTAAATTTGCTTGTCTAAGTTTCAACCATTTATCTAGAAGAACAAAAAAATGTCCCACAATACAGTGAATTTGGTGCTTCGACTCTCTGCTAATAGCATAACTTCATTTAATCCGTTGACTATCTGAGTAGTCCCGCCAACTATCCTTTTTTGTTGATTCACAATGTGTTGTGTCTGCCCTTAGGAAGGGCAGCTGTAAGGATAAGTTTTATTAAATTATTGAGTACAATCTCTGACTCGTTCTTACTCATTTTCCTGTTCATTCTTGATCTATAAACATTGCAGCGGATATATCGGAAGTTACAGGAAAAGAGCAGATGGAAACACAGGCGACCAAGAGAGGAAGGGGTCGTAAGCAATAGATCTTGGATCGCTTCTGAGTAGAAGTAGAGCGTTTTTAAAAATTTTAGCACATGATTAGTGAATCTTGAGATGATTATATGTCCTCCTTGCCAGTTGCCGCCTCATGAATATGATTGTCAAAGTGAACCTTTTTGTTTCTATTCTCAGTAAAGCCCTTGTATTTTCGATGCTGACAATGTCAGAACCCAGGTCGGTTGACGTCACAAGCAGAATCAAAATTTTTTTTTTTTTGACAAGAGGAGAACTTGTATTGCAAAAATGTCAAGGTTACAGGGGTTGAGAACCACAATGAAAGCAGAAAACAGAGCAACAATGGAGTCAAATGTGAAAGCAATCTAAATCAAAAGAGAAGGCCAGAAACAGAACAGGAAGTAGATTGAACCCAACAAAAGAATCTCCACAAAAGGATGCTAACATTGAGAACCCAGAACCCCTTGCTTCCACAACATTCAGCACAACACAAGCAAGGTTCCAGCTCGCCCGAAACCAGACAGGCCCATGGCTATTGAACATTGCAACGCCATAAGCCGCCACCTGGGGATCGTTCAGAGACGACCCATCACAGTGAATCTCATGGAAGGGATTACTCGGCGGTGGGCAGGCTGAAACCGGGATGCTCTGAGCTGAAAAGGCCGAGGAAGCCGGAGGCACGGATGACCAGGAACCGGGAAAAATGAAGAATCAACTTCATCTCCAGGAAGCCAGAGAATCAAAGCCAACGAAACCGAAAATGACACCACACCCCACTTCAGTCGGCAGCAAGTCTTCAAGAAAACCAGTGGAAGAAGGAAGGGAGGAAGTAGGAACGGTGAATCTGCTCACCAAAAGAGATGAGCACACCAACAAGGAGCAGAACCCCCAACAGTAAAACACCATTAGAAGCACTCACAAGTTGCAACTTTCAGATCCAAGGAGCAAAGCCAAACCAGATCTAGAAACTAAAAAGAACACTGTGGATAAAACCACTTGGAGAGTGACCATGAAGGTCCGGAAAGAGCCACCATGGGCTGGAGAAAAATGCAGGGCAAGCCAAACATAAAAAAGAACAAGTAAAAATAAAACATTGGGCCACCGCCGGTCAGCAGAAGAACACCGGCGGCAGCCCTGAGCAGTGAAAAGGCGCTGGCCTTTAGAGAGAAGGGAGAGCAAACGGATTTAAAAAAAGTAAGAGGATATCAAACAGATTGGAGGCCGCAGTTTAGTGACAAGCAGAATCAAATTCGCCGGCAAAGAAATTGCAGCATTGCGGTCTCATAGCTCTGGACTTTGTTGGGTGAATTGCAAGTTTGGTCACCCTTAGCCTTAGCCACCCAAATCACTTTTGCTTCAATTTAGCCATTAATACTAAACATTTATGTCATCCTTGGTCACTCGCCGTCCAATTCTGTTAAATCTGTTCTACGTGGTAGTCAACAATTAAGTTTGACTATTGAAATGGTGATGTGGCAATAAAAAAATTATTTATTTTGTAATATATAAGAAAAATGACATGAAAAAAGATAAGAAAATTTTATGCTCTAACTCCGCCTCTCACTTTTTCTTGTGCTACCGGCTGCTGCCATTACTAGAAGACCCGCCCCTTTCTCCCCTTCCTTTCTCCCCTGTTCCCAGAAGACCCACTGCCGCCGACTGCTGTTACTAGTTGCGAGCAGTTCTCGTAGCATACCTGTTTCTCCCAGGCGGGGCCGTTGATTGCGAGGAGGTGGGGAAGCGAGAAGAGGAGAAGAAGCATAAACAGAACTCCGACCATCTCCCTTTCATCCATCTCGTGCCAGATCTAAACGTCGACGATCTCTGTTTCAATTGCCACCATCAAAGCTGTCCGGTCCAAACTCAGTCGCCTCCTCTGTTTTCTTCTCCTTTGTCGTATGATTCTTGCTATCCATCGAATCACCCAAAGTTTTGATTTCACATTTTAGTAACCAATTGCAAATTTTATGCCGAATTTATTTGTGAAATAGTGTCCGGTTGGCGCAACCAAGTATGGTAAAAAAATGCTTCGAATTTAGCTAAAGAGCAGACTTCGGGTGTCGGGACGACAATAAAGCCTCTTCCGTTTGAGACCGTCGTCGTCTGCCTCTTGTCGTCGGCGTCAAGTTCGTTGCGTCGTCATCGTCGTCTGTCTCTTCTCCAGCTCTGAATTCGCGGTGGCGGCCACGATTTCGACAACCTCTTCTGCGTCTTAGGGGTCGTTTGGAAGTTATGATTCTAGATGAATGATTATTTGAATTCAAGTATTCTCGAGAATCCATCGTTTTTTTGTTCCTAAACTTTATTCAATACATGCATTTGAGGTGGGCCCTCAAATCTCATATCACCCTCAATCACTCATTTTAAATCTCAACAAAAAAGTGAGATTCTTTGAGATTGTTGGCTATAATTTGTTTCACTTTTAGCTCATAAAGTGATTCTTTTCTTTAGAAATTTTAATGGCTACAACTAGGGATGGCAATGGGTCGGGTTGGGTCGGGTTTTGCCAAACCCAAACCCAAACCCATGGGTTTATCTTTGAAAAAAACCCGGGGTAAAACCCACTGGGTTTGAAAAACTCAAACCCAACCCAACCCGTTGGGTATCCGCGGGTTCATGGGTACCCACGGGTTTTGTCGTAAAAAATTTATAATTACAAGTTCTTATCAAAATTAAAGTCAAATATCAATCTCTCAATACAAATTATCCATATATAAAACACCATTCTAGAAAATTCAAGCAAATCACAAATTAACTATACAAATTGTTCAACACCAATCTAGAAAACTCAAAAAAATTGAAGCAAATCACAAATTTTCCATAAATAACATGTTTAATTGAAAGCTTCTTCCTTTCAATTAAGTTTCTTTACTCTCCACTCCATAACATCAACTTCATTCTACACAATTAAAAAGAAAAAATTAGACATGTCTCCACAAACATAAATAAAATTAGTTGTTGAGAATATTAAATATACCAAAAAAATTAATTATATGGGTGGGCGGGTACCCACGGGCCGGGTTTACCTAAACCCAAACCCAACCCAACCCGTTGAATAGTGAACGGGTTTAAACCCAAACCCGGCCCAAAACCCGTCAACACGGATTTTACCCGCGTTGACCGGGTTGGGTCGGGCGGGTACCCGTGGGTTCGGGTTTTGTTGCCATCCCTAGCTACAACCAAACAAGACATTCTTCCAATCATTCTAATTCTTATAATCTTTGTATTTACAATAGATGTATTCATCAAATACACATATTTGAAGAATCTCAACTTCGAAACGACCCCTTAGCCTCCCCATTCGTCCTCCTCGATTTGTTCAATCTCCGGTTGGTTAGCGTCGATGTTGAACCCGAAACTGCTTGGGTCGAGTCTGGCGCAACGCTCGGCGAAGGATCTGTTTTGGGGTTAATGGCGTCGTGTTTCCGAGAGGAGGGTTTGATTTTAGTTTTTCCAATTTTTCTTTTTTAATTTTTGAATTTTTTTATAATATATTAAATAATTTTGAATTAAATTATGATATGGCTGCAAAGGTGGTGTCTATGTGTCAGTGAGGTTGTTGCCACGTTATCATTTTAACAGTCAAACTTAACTGTTGACTGCAACATAGGACAGATTTAACAAAACTAGACAGCGTGTGACCAAAGATGATATAAGTGTGTAATATCAGTGGCTAAATTGAAGCGAAAGTGATTCGAGTGGCTAACCTGTTATAAATAGATAATATGAGTGACCAAATTTGCAATTCACCTAGTTTTTTTTAGCAAATCAGACTTTCATTCATTCCAATTAAATCGAGCGAAGCTACAACAAAACCACAGTTACAACAAATCTGCAATAACCACTAGAACAGACAACCAATCTAGGTGGAGAGAGTTTGATCTACAACTACGAGCTACCCAATCAGCTTCCTTGTCTTTTGGCGACCAATGAAAGAAACCGTAATCCAATCCAACTCCCTTAGAATCTTTGAAAATGATGCGATGTAAGCATAGCAGCGCCAAGGCCAGCCCGCTTGATCATTATGGATTGCTTCCACCAACACCTTGCAATCAAAATGTATCATCGAAGGGACATGGTCAAATGATGCCACTTGACAGGCTTCCATAATAACTCTAGCTTCAGCCTCGATAGGAGAGGAACAAAAAAAACTTCCAGCTTTCCCATCACAAGTTTGCTCGTTGGAGTCTGTAATAACCACTCCAAAAGCCGTTGTCTGTGAGTCAGTATCGAACGATCCGTCACAGTGAATCTTGCGAAGAATGCTAGGCGGTTGGCACGGTTGTGGTGGAAGAACCCGAGGTTGTGAAGGGGAGAAGAAGATGACAGCGAGTAATAAGGTTATGCCGCATCACGAAAGGCGTAAATCGAAGTCTTCGTCGGGGACAGGACTCCACGAAAGATATGATCATTACGCGCCTTCCAAATATTTCAGATACAGAAAATGTTTTGCCTGGCCTTCTATGAATTCTGCTATCTCATGGCAAAGATCCATTGGGTGAGGTTAAGAGGAGGCGAGCAAGAAGGAGCAACCTTTACCCATGTTTCAGTTGCATGAGGACAAAGGAAAAGGCGGTGAACTGACGATTCCTCCTATGCATTGGCACATTAAACTAAGATAATATTCACCATAAAGGTTTAACAATGACTGTCTTCTTCACCTATTGCACATGAACAACATGTATATAAACCAAATGAGCTACGTACCATAGAATTAAATGAAATTCACAAAAGCTTTCTTCAATTAACTTACAAAGCGTGATGGCCAAACGATCGACTCTGCTACCGAATCTCCAATGGTTCGAAAGCTTGCATATGGTCGCACTAAGGTCGCACTATGACACTCTGATATGTTCTTACCATCATGGTACACTTTCATACCACGTGGTATGAACTTATGTAAGCATTACCACCATGACATAGAGTATAGACTGGTAATAAATGTCACAAATTTTTTTTGTTCAAATATTATTTTAGGGATTTTTTGTTCTAAAATATATCAAAGTAAATATTATCTTGAATATAACAATTAATAAATGTGAAAAAAACCCCGAAACAAAAATAGCTCATTAAATTTATACGGAAAAAGATTAGAACCTTTCATAAATAGTGATGTGACAATAATATTATATGTTATGCACGATTATATACCCTTAAATCATGCAAGTGATCCGCTCCCGGACTATAACCATTTCTGTTTTCAAGTTTCAACCTTGCTCAGCCACTATTGTCCTCCGACCCCGTGCTTGATAATTGTTTACGGAGATGAATTAGTGGATGTTTACGGAAATGAATTGGTGGATATATTTTAATTTCTTAACCAACATTTCGAAAGACTAAGAATCCAAAGATAATCACAAGGAAAAGAAACAAGCGATACATGGGAAAGAGAGAACAAAGTACATATTACCAAAGAATACAACAAAATCGCACAGCTAAATAAGTAGTTTAAGTTTTCACTCTTTACAAAGGTGATGGAGCGATAATGTTTGTTGGGTCTGTTGAAATGATGCCAACTTTCACAACCTCCACTGTCACTATAAATAAAAGAGGAAAAGATTGAGAACACCAAACAAAAACGGTCAATATTTGTGTTAACTAACGGTAAAAAAAAATTGGTCAAATAAATACGTTGCAAAGGAAAGTTAGTGTAGTTGGGTACATGTCAAAAAAGGAAAAAGATGGTCACTCAACTTTTCTTTTGTCTATGTGTGCTTCACTTTTACAATTTGGAACTCTTTTCGTTTTGGGTATACTGTTTATTATTAGAATGACATTTTTGAGTAAATGAGTTTGATATTCCAAGTATAGAAGAAAAATAAAGGGCAATGTCTATTTTTTACCCAAACCTTTTTCAGATTCTTTTATTTTAACTAAACCTATTGAATTCCTAAAAATTATCCAAACGTTAATTCTTCGTCAACTTTTCTGTTAGTAATGCTGACTAAGTATGACCATAATGAGTTGACTTCCTACGTGGCGGTCAGAATACCATCATTTACTATTTTTAATAAAAAAAATTATCAAAAAACAAAACAAAATCCCACCTCTCACGTGGACAAAATAAGTAACGGTAACAGAATGAATGCCCAGACTTTGATAAATTATGATACGTTTGGATAATAAATAGAATTTCTATAGGTTTGGTTAAAATAAAAGAATCTGAAAAAGGTTTGGGTAAAAAATAGACATTGCCCAAAAATAAACATACATATTCAGTTCTAAAATATTTATATGGCTGTTCTAAAATATTCATTTAATTGTGGTTGAGTTCACTATGTACAACATTTTGCAATTACTCGTATTCACAAATCATCAATTATGTCGTTCCATAAAAAAACATCATCAAATATGTCATACATACAATATCCGACATTACGCCACATCTTTCAGGTTGTTGTTAACCACA